TTAACAGAGTAAATCAGAAAAGTCATCTCATTTCAATAGATACAGAAAAAGCATTTAATAAAAGTCAGCATCCATTCATGAGGAAAAGGTCTTAGAAAACTAGCAATTGAAGGAAACTTTGTTAATCTGGGAATAGTATTTGTTAAAAACCTGCAGCAACCATAATACTGGAGAAATGTTGAAAGCTTTCTTTCCAAGAAAGCTGAATTTCCAAGATTGAGAATATATGAGAGTAGTGTCTGTTACCTCCTTTCTAAATCATCACTGTATGAAAGATCCCAGCTACGTTACTGATGCAGGTAAATCCATCGTTGCATAAAATTCTGTTGGGCACCCCCATTTTGTAGAGATCAGTGCAGTTTCAACATCCCAACATAAGTTTGTTTTGGTGGATTTGATGGGCCTGAATCAGAAACTTACATGGAGTAGCAAAACTAACTTACTTTTTTTTTTTTTTTTTTAAAAGAGGTGAGGTCTCTGTCATCCAGGTTGGAGCACATACAGTGGCACAATCATAGCTCACTGTAGCTGTGAAATGTTGGGCTCAGGTGATCCTCCCACCCCAGCCTCCTGAGTAACTGAAACTACAGGTGCGTGTCACCATGCCTGGCCTTTTTTTTTTTTTTTTTTTCCTTGTAGAGATGGGGTGGTGGTGTGTTGCCCAGGCTGGTCTCAGACTCCTGGGCTCAAGTGATTTCCCACCTCGGCCTCCCAAAACCCTGGGATTACAGGCATTAGCCCCTGCGCCCGGCCTGCCAAAATGTTCTTGAAGAAGAACAGTTTCCTGTTGGATGTTTAAATTTTTAAAGCTGTTGTAATTTAGTTAGTGTCCAGTTCTTGAACAGAGATCTAAGTAGGTAAGTCTGTATCCAGTAGAACAGAATAGGGAGTCCAAAACTAGATCCACGCGTAAAGGGGAATGTGATTTATGGTAAAGATGGGGTTACAGAGCAGTGGAGAATGTTAGTTTTTTAAATAATTGGTTAAGGATCAACTGGATGTTAATTTGGGGGGAGAATGAAACTAGATTCCTATTTTACACAGAAGTCAAATGCAAATGCATTGTGCATTTAGATGTGAGAGAGAGCCCAGTGTTTTGAAGGTAGTAGATTTTTTTCATGACTTTGATATAAGGAAAAATTTCTTAGACTCCAAAAGTACAGTACTAATTGTAAAGCAAAAGTTGATAAAATTAAGAACTTTTATTCATCAAAGTATACGATTAAGAGAGTAACAAGGCAAGCTGCCTGTAACCAGTAGGGGCTTACTCATATTCAGAATATGTATTTTTTAAAATCCTAGAAATTTGTAAGAAATTGGCTTACAATTCAGTAGAAAAAACAGAAAAGCAACCTGAATGTACATTTCACGAAGTGATGTATAAGTGGCCAGTACACATCAAAAAATGCTCATAGTCACTAATTTTGCATAGGAAAATGCAAATTAAAACCACACTGTAGTACCACAGCACAAATACACTTAGCATAATGGCTGAAATTAGACTGATGATTGCATGCTGTAGTGAAGGAGTGGAGCATGGGAATTTTTCATAAACTGCTAGTGGAAAAATTGATTGGAACCAAAAAAGACTGGAAAAACAACAGGACAGCATCTCTGTGTATACCAAACGATGCGTAACAAGAATCTTACAAGTGGCAGTGTTCATAGTAGCCCCAAACTGGAAATAATCCAGGTGTCAGTCAGTAGTGGAATGGATAAATTATCATTTGTTCATGTATTGGGGTATTGTAAAGCAATGGTAATGGACAAACTACGGTTTATAGGATAAGATGAAGTAAACAGTTCTACTGTATTACATTAGTCTCTACTTGCCCTGCTATAAATAAATACCCAAGACTGGGTAATTTATAAAGAAAAGAGGTTTAGTTGGCTCATGGTTCTTTCTTCAGGCTGTACGGGAAACATGAAAGCCTCTGGGGAGGCCTCAGGAAAACGTTCGATCATGGCAGAAGGTGTTGGAGAAGCAGGCATGTCTTAACATGGCCTGCAAAGTCAGGCAAAACGGGGAGGTGCCACACAGTTTTAAACAGCCATTTTTTGTGAGAACTCTATCACGAGAATAGCACTAAGAGGGACGATGCTAAACCATTAGAAACCACCATCATAATCCAATAACCTCCTCCCAGGGCCCTCCTCCAATATTGGGGATTACATTTCGACATGAGATTCAGGCAGGGACACAGATCCAAACAATATCACCTGCTCATAGGAAAACATCACGCCTGTGATCCTGGCACTTTGGGAGGCCGAGATGGGTGGATCACGAGGTCAGGAGACTGAGACCATCCTGGCTAACACGGTAAAACCCCATCTCTACTAAAAATACAAAAAATCAGCCCAGCGTGGTGGCGGGTGCCTGTAGTCCCAGCTACTCTGGAGGCTGAGGCAGGAGAATGGCGTGAACCCGGGAGGTGGAGCTTGCAGTGAGCCGAGATTGCGCCACCACACTCCAGCCTGGGCGACAGAGACTGTGTCTCAAAAATAAATAAATAAATAAAACCAAATCTGGTTTTGGAGGTCAGGATAGTAGTAACTTTTAAGGAAGAGGAAGGAGGTGTTGGTTAGAAAGGGTCATAGAGTGGTATGGTGGGTTTCTGGGATGCTGGCCATTTTTCCCCCATTTTGTGACACAGATTGATTTTATGATAGTAATTTAAGCTTTGTGCTGATGGTTTTTATGCTTTCTACCATATTGCACTAAATAAGTTTAAACATAGTATATAACAGTGACATGGATAATAAAAACAGAAGTTAACATTTTTATAAAAAGTGTTTGCTGTGTGTTACAGGTTTCATTCTGTGTGCCTGTTGGTGGTACCTCATTTAAACTTTGTAACAAGGAATAGGGTCAGTATAGTAATACCTCTGCTTCATAGATAGGGAAACGAAGGCTTTGAATAGTTAAGAAATTTCCCAGTCACAGCCTTAGTCTTTTACTGTTTATAAGAACTTTTTATATATTAAGGACCTCGATTCTTTTTATTTATATTCCTTCTCACCTTTTTCTTTTTAATGTGCAGATTTAAAAGCCCTCATTCCCCCCATTATTTGAATTTAGATTTTCAATTTTTTGCTTTTACAAATACCAGGATAAACATGGTTGACATCTTTATCCACATCATTGATTATTGCCTTAGTATAAGTTTCTAGAAGTTCTTTTTAAAAGCGAACAAAGTTGTTCTACAGAATTGAATTGAATGAATGTGTTTTTGACTATGAATGATAAAATGTTTAGAAAAGTTAGCCATCTTTCACCAGTTATACTATCCTTTTACTTATTTAAGAAATACTAATCATGTGGATTGGGAAAGTTAAGGACAGAGAAGAGAATCTAAAGTCTGAAAGCAATGCTAGGGGCAGTAGACTTTCCAGCTTCCGCAGGGGTGGAGGACTTGAAATTTGTATTTTGGAAAGGTCACTTTAGCCATGTTATTGAGGAGATCCAGAATTGCAAATAGAATAAAGACAGAGCTATTAGGAATCTTTTTGGTAATCTTAAGTGAGATATGTTGTGTGCAGATGAAAAGGTTGTGTTCGAGTGTTCTGTTAGGAGAGGGAATGAGCAAGATTGGGCAGCTGTTGGGGAAGAACTCTTAACATGACTCCTGAAGTGTTGATTCTGGTTGACTGGGTAGGAAATGGTGTCATTCCCTGTAGTGGAAAGTAGAGGTGGAACTTAACGTTTGGGGAGCTTTGTTCTCTTCGTTTTGCAGAGTCTGTGCCACATTCAGTTAGAGATGGTATTCTCCACAAGATGGGCACTGGCCCCATGAGCCTTTACTGCACATTGACTGTGCATTACTCTACAGTACTTGCAGATAACATTGGGCCATTTATTAATTGGCAGAGCTGTTCTGAGTACGTCGTATGTATTAAAGCACTAAACCTTCATAACAACCTTTTCAGGTAGGTATTATTATCATTATAAGGTATTAGGTATGCATGGTCACCAGTAGCACTGGGATCTCCCACCCCAGCAGCCTGGCTTGAGAGTCTGTGTCCTTCACTGTTGGACCACCATTATTGTGTGTCTTGAAAATGGTGGAAGTCCAAAGTATTTTGCTACTGAACTACGTGGTCGGTTGTGTTGTGGCTGTTAACTGGTTCATTCAGGAGGACAGGCACAAGTATTTTGAATCTAGTCATTCTTGTTGACCAAGGTTTTAGGCTTTAGTCTGTGATTACAAATAGGTTGAATTTAAGAAAAATCTTTTTTTAAATCATTTTCTTAAAAATTGCCTTTTATTAGATACCAATACTTTTATGGACCAGAGTGTTAATTTTTCATTTCTGCCGCAGATATCATGATCATGGTTCATCCTACCCGTGGGATAATTATTGGCTCTTCTTTCTTTGTGGTGAGCTTGCCAGGTCTAGATTCTCTTAGGACTGTTTGAAAGGTGCAGAGGAATCCAACAACCTTGGGTTGAGAAGTTTAGTTCTGTGTTTTATGTTTGTTTTCCTGTTTCTATACCCAACCTTTGATTACCTGTGTCAGTGGAGAGCACCATAAGGTTTCACCTGGTTTGGGGATGCTGGCGATGTTGTTTTCCATAAACCTGGCAGCAGGTGCAAAATAGCATCTCAGAAATGTTCCTTTGAGTTGGTTTGTGAGGAGCTGGTCCATTGGAGAAGTCCATCAATAATTAAAAGATTACTTATTTAACTTGTGTTATGGTTCTTAATTGATGAAAATCTCGTAGGTGAAAATGAGTCTTAAAGGTTGTTGCTGTTGCTTTACAAAAAGGTTTTCTGAAGATTTTCTCAATACAGGTTTATATTCATTTTAATCACTATTGATCTTTTATACCATTTACTACATAACTGTTGTGTTGAGTGACATATACCTGTTTATAGTGAGAAAAGTTTTTTAATATTGAATATCCTAAAGTTCTTATTTAAAGAGCTATTAGATATATCAAATGATATAAACATTAGGATATGAATATTTCCTTTAAACTTCACTTATCTTCTTGTAGGAGGAGAGACTTCAGCATGCAAACCTTCATCTGTTCGGCTTGCACCGTCATTTTCATTCCATGCTGCTGGCCTTCAGATGGCTGGACAGATGCCCCATTCACACCCGTACAGTGACCGTCGCCAGCCAAGCATAAGTGACCAGCAGGTTTCTGCCTTAGCGTATTCTGACCAGATTCAGCAACCTCTAACCAACCAGGTAAGTTCATGGAGTATCACAAATGACGGTTGGAATGGCAGTTTATTCCTTCAAAATGTTGGAATACTAAATAGGCAAAATGCTTTAATGGTTTTCAATTTTACAAGTTTTACATGCACCATGGGATTATGGATTGAGAAAACGTGGTATTAAGAAGTTTGCATTAAAATATGTGTTTTGTTTTTTTTTTTTTTTTTGCATTTTTACTTGTATTTCACTTAAACAGTCATAAACATGCCCACAGTCTCTCATTCTGTAATAGAGAGGGGAAAAGTTATTTCTGAAGAATATTAAAGGAACTTAAAGAAAAGGCTTATTTTTATGGAAAGGTGGCTGAGTTAAAGATGTTACAGGAAAGCGAGTCAGAGTCCATTACAGCAAACTTACAGAACCGAATTTGTGTTATTTTAAACTACCTTTCTACACATTTGTAAAAATAAATACAAAACTCCTTAAAATTCAGAAGAGATGTATGCAAATTAGCTGTGCTATTTATTCAATATTCAGACAGGCTATTCACCATTTTTCTATGAAGTGAATGGTGTAAATAGAATAAATGCTGAACTCTTTTGGTACACACACACGCACATATACACATGCATATATATGTATGTGTATGTATTTTTAATATCTTTCTAAATTAACTGCACCGTCTACATTGATTTTGGTTTGGGGAGACTTATTAGCTGTAGTTGTGAGATAAAGTTTCTTGCCCCGCTGATATTTGATGTGTGATGAGCACTGAAAATGGCTGCTTTTCCATGGACTTAGAAATTTGGTTTGCCATTCTTTTGTTTAGTTCTTTTAATATATCGTGTGAGGATAAAAGAGTTGGGAGATTTAAAAGTATTTCTTTTCCTGGATTATTTGAAGGAATTGTATTTTCTCTAATTCAGTTATATATATGGTTTTAATGAAAAATTGGTTACAGCGACACATCATCTTTATTAAGGGGTGTCTTGTTTATATTAAAATGTGTTTGTAATAAAATTTTGCTAGTAGTTAGGCTGGCATAGTGTTTATACGATATATAACATGTTAATAACATTCACAGTTAAATAGTTATAATAAGATGAATTTTGGCAGGACTTAAGGTTTTCTTTTATGCAGTGAATTGATTGAGTTTAGTTGTGTGTTTGAGAATTGGGACAGTTGTTCAGAATGTCCAAGTTTAGGAATTGTTTAATCGTGTACCAGAAGAAAACTTCCTGGAAATCTAATAATAACAACATGATGATCCATTTACACTTTGAGGAAGCCAAGTTGATTCAGGTTAATTTTCCTGCTTGTTCCAAAGCAGCCTGTCAGGCAGAGTGCTGTTTTTAATGTGTTTCACAGCTGAAAGGACTGCACTGCTATTTGTGACTTTTCCATGTGTGTGAGCAGGCTTCCTTCTTCTTAGATACAGTGCTATTTCAGGTCTAACCTCTGGTGTCTGCAGAGGGCTAGGAAAACTTCCAGTCCTTTAAAGTCATTTTTATCGTTATATTATTTTAGTAAATAATTTAATTAGCAAAGCACCTATTTTTATATCCAACTAACATCTTATGTGTATTTGGATCATATAAAATAAGAGATATTTTACTTACTATTTCTGTTTTAAGCTGTGAAATACTTTTAAAGATTTATGTGATGTAAAAAGACTATCTTTAAAGTAATAATACTCAGCCAAATATTTCTGCCAAAATCCAAAGATTTCTGGGCCTAATAAGGGAGTCATAGTAGAGGATACCTTTCCTGTAACTAAAGTGTAGGCTGTGTATTAAGCCTATTCATAGAACCTGGCTTCAAGGTCTTGGTCGGCTCATGGTTGACTTGGTCAGTTGTAGGATTTGAGTCAGGTCATATCTGTTCCTGGGGTGTAAAATTGGCACCTCCGACTAGAACCCCTCCACACATACAAAGTACCTTTTAGCTGTAAACTTACTGTAATTTACTTACTGTAAAACTTAATGTAATTTCCATTGTTTTCTTGTTAATCATCCTAGCAGATGTCTTTTAAAAGAGAAATAGAGCAAAAAGTAGGTGTAGAACAGGATGACTGATGTTTGGAATGCTGAGTTTCTGGGCTATTCTAGTTTTCACAATACCTTTCATAGTCCCTCATTTCTCCTAGTACCCTGGATATGTGTTACGGATGCTACTCAGCTTTATTAATGCTCTCAAAATAATAAAGGCAGAATACAGTGTTTCTGATTCTTCATTATATATGAAAACAGGAGGTAAATATAAATAAAATGAAATAAGTATTATAATGGAAAACAGTTTTTGAAAGGAGTCCTAGAGCTTATACTAAAGAATCTTTTCAGGAAAAAAGTTAATTATTGTTTTAGCTCTTATAACTGATCTAAGCAGGAGTTTTGTAATCTGGGTGAAGTAAAAGGAGCCAGAGATGTGAGCGTTGAGGTCATGCTGTTTCTAGCTTCCAGAGCCAGATAGCTGAGGCAGCAGGAGGAGGTCACATCAACTTCCCTTTTATTAGGTTACTCCCCTTGCTAAAGGGGTCTTTCCTGCAGCTTGGTGAGTTCCTGGGTCCTCTGAACACCATGGGCTTACTTTTTGGTTTAGAAGGTAGAAGGGAGCTTGCTCTAGTACATTGTCTTGACTTTGACTAGCCGAAGCAGGAAGTAGAGAAAGTGTCAGATGCTTAGTTCTGGCCTTGAGTCTTAGTATAGATGTAAAAGTAGGTATTTGGAAAAGCTACTTTCTAGTTCTGGATATGTACTGATGGCATCACAATGTTCCAAAACAAAAATTTGGTTAACGTGAAATCACAGTGAAAGCACAGGAGTATTACTTGCTTTGTAGACATTTATTTGTTCTTTCCATGTATTTTGAGCATCTCAATACAGGGCGTTGTTTGAAGCATGAAATACAAACAAACTTGGCCTTGTAGGCACAGTTTGACTGGTTGTAGAAAAGGTTAGCAATGTTTTGTGAAATGCTAAGCACACAGCACACACTCATATGGAGTGCAGAAATTTGATCATGTAACTCATGTTTATATTCTGTTTTGTATATGTACTATATGTTTAAAATTGTTTTTTTAATTGTGTGTTATTTTGGTGTTTTTAAGTGAGCATCATTACTCCTGGATGTAGTCACTGATTCTCTTTTCAGATGTTTGAAATACCAGTGGAATTGTAAATTGGCAAGTTAAAGACATTCACAGTTTTTTTATGTAACTAATTTTAATAAATGTATGTGTTTATTTTAGGCATACCTCAATTACTCTGCCCAACAAATAGCCTAAAAATGATTGCTAAGAGGGTAGACTAGAGCCGTAACATTGATAGGAAGCTCCTGGCAAGAGTGTCCTTGTTAAGAGTCTGGAGTTAGGCCTGGGCATCTTCAGCTATAATATTGCAGGAACTGCACTATGATAATATTTCAGACCACACGGATGGTGATTTTCCTGTTCTTTAACTGGCTCTGGGACCTTGGTCAAGTTCTTTAACATTGGAGACTCTGGTTTCTCTTGTGTAAAATGGTCACAGGAATGCTATTTAACTCCCTTGAGATTGTTGAGGGGATTACATGGGAGACTTGTAAAAATATGCATGCTAAAAACATGTCGTTCAGTAAACACCTGCTAGTGTTACTGTTACTTTATTGTTAAGTTATTCGGTTGACCCTACCAATGGCTTATACTTCCTATCAAGTTTTATTATAGCTGTAATGAAGCATTGCACTGATTCAGATTTTGTGAAACCTCACATTTAGGCTGTACTCCACCAGCCCAAGAAAGGGGATTACTGAATAAACTACCTGCGTGAAAACAATGCTGGGAACTTAAAAAAGGAAACACATTTAGGGGAAACCTTTCATCACCCTAAATGCTTACAGCATTCATTCACAAAAAAACGAACATGTTTACTACCCATATTAATTTATGCATTAAGTCCTTAAGGAATAGTATAAAAATATTCTGTGAACCTAGCATTACCTACTGTTTAGAAAAGTAAGACTATATATTTGAAAAATTAAATAAGTTACATCATCTTAATTCTGATGATTTTTGTCCAACAAATAGTTATAATCACCAACAGTCCCCCCCTCCCCCCGCCCAGCCTATTTGGAATTTTAAGAAGCAGAGGTCCTTAAGAAGAGGCTCTGTTATTTCAGTAAATGGGTGAATCTGCCCTTTGGGTAACAACTGTTTAGAGTTTGAGTATACATGCAGAAGAAACCAGTGTTAATGTTGGTTCATGATAAAGCGCACGTAGGTAAATGCCATAACAGTTTTATCTTTTCAGACCACATGGATGGTGATGCTTCCTGTTCTGCCCACTGGTGCAACCCTCCCCTCTTCTCTTTTTTGGTGTGGGTTAGGTTAACAATTATACCATGACTCCACACATTTTTGTGAGGTCTTAGTATGATGTGTTTACTGTCACTCTGCCCCTCAGATTGACCCGAGTGTCCTTGGAGAGATGTTGTGTCAGGGTCTTCTGGCTCATTTCCCAGCACAAATGTCCAGAAGAGTTGGGCAGGAACACAAGGATGGGCCAGGGGGAATGGCTGTGACCACCTTGATGGAAACAATTGGTTTTGAGGAGCTGTTGATTTCAAGAACCCCCATTGAGAACCCTTTGACTGAGGCATGACACTTGCTGGAGCAGTGGCACTCGGACAGCAATCCAGGATCATTGACGCTAGCCGCAGCACTCCTGGGTGTGTGTATAGAGGGGGTGCATGCCCCTGCTCTGTCCTCTGTTGTAATGGCTGTGGAAACAGTCTAGCAGGATGCTCATGGTGCAACCCCTCATTGCCTGTCAGAAGTGTTGAGAGCCATGAGTTGGGATCAGGGAACGGGGGGACTGTGAGGGCAAGCCTTGGTTAGGGGCAGATGTTTGTCAGAGGGCAGCTGGGTCTGGTGGCAGTAGGAGCTGAATTTCTTGTTAGGAGCAGTTGGAGGGAATGGGGCTCTGCTGCCAGCCTCCTTTTTTGGTGCCAGCTGGGTCCTGAAATCCTATGTTAAGGAAGCTGAAAGTTGCCTCTGAGGGCTGGGTTTATCTTTGTTGGCTAGTTGTGAACCTGGTCAGGTTTTAGGAATAATTCAGAAAAAAATTTTCTTTGGGCTAATTGTGTGGTAGAGAAGCCCTCATGGGCAGCATCCTGTGTGTCTCCTAGATTGGGGTATGTCTGCAATTCCACCACTTTAAATTTGGCGGAATAGGATCAAAGTCTCCGGCAGCTGGGCATATTATCTTCTAATTTCATTTGTTTGTTCTAGTGGTTGTCTTTATTGGAATCTACATAAAAGGGAACTTGGAGAGATAATGTATAATCATCTAATGTAGATGTCTTTTAAAAAGTAGATACATGCAGGTTACAGAAGAGGGAATTTGTATCAGTGCAGTATAGTTAAAGTGCTAGTCTTTTCTGTCTATTTAAGGTGATGCCTGATATTGTCATGTTACAGAGGCGGATGCCCCAAACCTTCCGTGACCCAGCAACTGCTCCCTTGAGAAAACTTTCTGTTGACTTGATCAAAACATACAAGCATATTAATGAGGTAAGACTTGATTTGTTATAATAACATCTATCTTGCAATACGTCAGTGAGAAAAAAAGCGATTTTGTGACCTATTTACCCTAAACTTTTTTCATTCCTAGTAATTGTCATATTGACGATTATTATGAAGACTAATGATTTAGAAATAATATAATTACAACTATGCAAAATATATATTAACAAGGACTGCAAAGTATAAAGATAATTGTGGATAACTTGATTTTTTAAGGTTGTATTTAATATATATTTTTAAATTTTTATTTGTTTCTCTTTTTTATTTCATTTGAGTTACTTCTATAATAACTCTTATTCAAAACAAGGGGAATAAGGACTCTAAAAGTTTATATGTGTTAGAATTTTTGCTCGAATTTTTATATATTTGTTTCTACTTTTGCCATGGGTGTCAGAAAGCTCTGAAATATGTTTAATACCTAGTTACAGGCATTTGGCCTAGTGTATTTGATCTATCTTTATTTCTGTGATTTTATTGTCTTTTAAATTTTTATGTGTGTTCTTTTATCTATGTCTTTTTATGATAAGATGTCCAGAAGCCTTTTTGTTGTAAGTAAATAAGATAAAAAACAGACACAGCACTTTAAATTGCTTGCCTTACAACTTGGTGTTTTGCCACCAAAATTTTTTCTGGTGTCTTGGACCATTGGCTTGATTGCCATTTGCTTGTGGCTTCAACTCTGTCTCCAAGGAAGAAACATTTCTGGAGAAGAACCCATGCTTTCTTTCTTCTTCCAGTGGGAGCCCTGCACCCTTTCGTGTTGAAGGCTTATCCTTTGCCAGCTTTAGAGCTGCTTAGCTGAAAAGTGAAAAGATGTTCTTAGGTACATGCAAATTTTATAGCAACTTAATGTTATTTAATGCCAGTATTACTACATTACAGTGGCAGTGCGGCAACATAAAATTAGAATGAACTCTGTGAGAAACATTTCTGAGTTAGATTTTGTACACATTTATGTATTATAAACATGTTCCAGACTAGCTTGTGATTATCTGAATATATCTGATAAATTGTTGATAACAGTATATTAATTTAAATTTGTTATTTTCTGATAAATTGTTAAAGCTACAGTTAAGCTGTTGTTAACAGTAGCTTTGTTGGAGCTTGTTTTAATATGTCTTACCACCTTATAAAGTAGACTTTTTCGGATGTTACTCCATGCAGTGTAATTTATAATTTCGCCAAAGTTAGTTTACCAGTTACCGGGACTATTTCCTAGTTCATCTGTTACTTTTTTTACTAGTCTTAGAAGCAGTGTTAAAGAAAATAACTCAGCCTGTGATTAACCATAGGCTTATGGTCTTTGGGAGTGGGGGCAAAGGGGCCATAGCTGTTTTTCATTAATCGTTATATTTTTATAGGTTTAAAAACTGGGCATGTCTCAGAGGGCCTATTTATTTTAGTAAAACATCAGTTTGTTTACATTTAAACTTACTCTAAAAATATGTGGCCATAAAATCAAATACAAATAAATACATGCAAGTTACAGAAGGGGGAATTTATATCCCAAATGTGAAGTTGGGATTGACTGGAAGAGGGCATGAGAGAACTTGAACTTGAGGTAGATGAAAGTGTTACTTGGCTGTTTGGCATTTGGTAACTTTTGTCAAAATTCCTCATGTTGAACTCTTAAGATCCGTGCCACCTCACTGTATATAAATTATACTTTAACAAATAAATATAAACTAGGTCCTTTTACTTTTCTTGAATGGCATACTTTGGACAAGTCACGTAACATTTTTTATTTACAAAGTCTATAAACAGTGTAACTATAATGAATTTCACTGTAGACATTTTTTTGTTGGTTATATCAGTGTTATTTTCTAACTCAAATGTCAACTGTAGAAAATAGATGTGTCTCAATATACACTGATAATTCCCTTCCCCTCACAGTTAACATATATACACTGATAATTCCCTTCCCCTCACAGTGATTTAAATTTTACAGTTAACACTATATATTCTCATTTTAGGTTTACTATGCAAAAAAGAAGCGAAGACACCAACAGGGCCAGGGAGACGATTCTAGTCATAAGAAGGAACGGAAGGTTTACAATGATGGTTATGATGATGATAACTATGATTATATTGTAAAAAACGGAGAAAAGTGGATGGATCGTTACGAAATCGACTCCTTGATAGGCAAAGGTTCATTTGGACAGGTAATTTAATGGAAAATTCTGAATTTCATTAATTAGAAAGAACTTCTTAGTGAATCTTGTTGTTACAGCCCTTCCTCGAGTATACTTTTAATATTTGCAAATAGAGCTCAGCAGTGGATACGCAAGTATTTGGATGACCATAATTCTTTAAAGGTAGTGATACTGCATCAGTAATAAAAACTCCTTAGACTTCTAAAAACTTCTGTGGCTACCAAGTACTCATTTTATCAATGACTGGTGAATTTAAATCACTAATAGATAGTATTGCCTTTTTGTTATGGGTCTTGTATAGTCTGTAGATGATTGTTAATTACCTGTGCTAGAGATATTTACCTTCTTCTCTGATAGACCACTTCAGAGAGAAAAGAATTACCATGTTCAGGTGGCACAGTGGGAGTCCACTCACTTTTCAGGAGGCTTTGGAAAGCTGGGAGTTGTTCTCTGACTTTTTCTCCCACCTCATGTTGTAACTATACCAGACCTCTAAGCAGGCAGGCAGTTTTAGTCTCTTGTATCAGTCTCACCAATACCAAGAGTTTTTGGTCTTTCTCCTTATATTTTATTTATTTATTTAGAGACAGACTCTCTTATCACCCAGGCTGGAGTGCAGTGGTGCACTCTCGACTCAGTGCAACTTCCGTTTCCCAGGTTCAAATGATTCTCCTGCATCAGCCTCCCAAGTAGCTGGGATTACAGGTGTGTGCCACCGTGCCTGGCTAATTTTTGTATTTTTAGTAGAGGCAGGGTTTCACCATGTTGACCAGGCTGGTCTCAAACTCCTGACCTCAGGTAATCCACTTGCCTTGGCCTCCCAAAGTGCCGGGATATCAGACGTGAGCCACATGCCTGGCCTTCTTGTACTTTTAAAAAGATTTTTTCGGGTCAGGTGTGGTGACTCACACCTATAATCCCAGTACTTTGGGAAGCTGAAGCAGAAGGATCACCTGAGCCTAGGAGTTCCAGACCAGCCTGGGAAATGTAGCGAGCCCTTGTCTCTATTTATTTAAAAAAAAAAAAAAAAAAAATGTTGGGGGATCTCTGGCTGTGATCCCCCAGCTGTTCCCAGTTGTAAGTCCTTCTATCACATTGAGTCACAGAACTCTGTTTTGTTTGAGGTGTGATTTGCCGATAGTCCCAGTCTCTTCTGCCTTGCAACCCTTGTGGAATGAGATGGTTATTAACCTGCAGTCCAAATACATCTTCTGGTTTTTCAGTGATGAGGATAGAATGGGAATCAAAATGACTTTTCCTGAATTGCCTTTTTTGTTTTTTTGTTTTGTTTTGTTTTCTTAAGCTATGGAACCTGCATGTGCTTACTTCTCTGTTCCTGCCCTGAGAGAAAGCAAAATATATGCTCCTTTTTAACCTGTGAGGAAAAAGTCATCATGATTAAAACAGAAAATGTACTGTATGTCATTAGCAGCCACAGGTCTAAATCCAGAAAAATAACCGTGTAAGCAAATATGAACATTTTTGTTAGACCTGTGTCACTCCAGTGTGGCCCTATCAGTCCCTGATGTCACGTGTGTATGTCTTCTTCCCATGATATGAAAGAATTTTGGTAACTACACATAATCCAGGGACTTTTTCCTTGAATTATAACCTCTTTTTCTTCTGAGGGGTTTTTCAGTGGTTTGGGAGTCCTCTTTTTTTTTTTTTTTTTTTTTGAGACAGGGTCTCACTCTATCACCCTGGCAGAAGCGCAGTGGAGTAGTGATCATGGTTCACTGCCTCGACCTCCTGGGCTCAAGTGATCCTCCTACTTCAGCCTCTAGAGTAGCTGGGACTACAGGCACGTGCCACCATGCCTGGTTAATTTGTTGTTTTTTGTGGAGGCGAGATCTCACTGTGTTGCCCAGGCTGGTCTTGAACTCGTGGGCTCAAGCAGTCCTCCCATCTCAGCTTCCCACAGTGCTGGGATTATAGGCCTGAGCCACCACACATGGCCTGGGAGTCCCTCTTGATTAAGGTATTCCTGTTTGTCAGTACGAAGCAGCTTCTCTGTCAGTCTCTTAAGGAAAGCCATTTGTCAGGCCCGGCCCTTAACTAATGGTGTGAACACCCTCTACTGGTTCCCAACCCGGCTACACAGCAGGAGGGAAGCAGTGGGCCAGCAAACGTTACCGCCTGAGCTCCGCCCTCTCAGATCAGCAGCGTTAGATTCTCAATGGAGCTCAAACCCTATTGTGAACTGTGCATGCGAGCGATCTAGATTGCATACTCCTTATGAAAATCTAATGCCTAATGATCTGAGGTGGAACAGTTTGATCACCAGACCATCCACCTCACCCCTACCCTGGCTGTGAAAAAATTGTTTTCCACAAAACTGGTCCCTGATGCCCATAAGGTTGTGAACTGCTGCTCTAGACCTAGACATTGCTACCTCCGCCATGACAACTTCACTAACATTTGGGCAGTTGCACTTAAGAGGTCACTTTTTATTTTTTATTTTTTATTTTTTGAGATGGAGTTTTGCTTTTGTCGCCCAGGCTGGAGTGTAATGGTGCGATCTTGGCTCACTGCAACCTCTGCCCTTCTGGGTTCAAGTGATTCTCCTGCCTCAGCCTCTTGTGTAGCTGGAATTGCAGGTGCCCTCTACCACGCCTGGCTAATTTTTGTATTTTTAGTAGAGATGGGATTTCACCAGTGTTGGCCAGGCCGGTCTCGAACTCCTGACCTCAGGTGATCCATCCGCCTTGGCCTCCCAAAGTGTTGGGTTTACAGGCATGAGCCATTGCACTGGGCCTAATAGGTTACTTTCTAACTTTCCTGACATCTACCATGCAAATTGTGGCCATACAGGCTGCTCTCTAAGCTGATTTGCCCCTGATGATTCAGTCTTTGTGCTCATAGTTAACGTTTTTCTTCTCCCCTTCACCTTAGTTTTTCTCACACTCAGATTCCACAGAAGAAGTGAGCACGGAACTCTGTGATGACAGAGGCCCGTTTGACATTGAACTCCTTTTTCCCAGGGCAGACTGATACTGCTCAAACTCTTGGGCTGAGGAGTTGTGCAGTGTCCACGTTGAAGTTCAGGTCCTGTCCCTCAGCAGAGTAATATCTTCTGTATAGACTTGGTCAGACTTTCTCCACATTCTCTGTCAGGTTATTGTCAAATGAGGGATATCTCCATTTCCATAGCCAGTACGTATCAATCCTGATTGCGTATTTAAATTTCTTGGGGAGCTTACCTGAAAAATTACTGATGTCTGGGCTCTAGACCAGTTAAATTCTCTAGTCATTGATGTAAAAGAAAAAAAACAAGAACACCTTATTGAATTTGTAATTCATGGTCAAAAACTGTCAGTTAACCCGTTAACTGTTTGGCAAGTCAGTAGATCCTCAGGCCCCCGTGAGTGTCCTTTGTGGTGCACCTCATCAGGATCTGGGCACTGAACTGCAACTCTTAGTGCAGTCAGTACATCCAGTGAAACAGAAGCATATCAGAACCACTTAGCCACATGTTTACAAGGGTAGCCTCTGTTATAAAAGACCACAGATAGTGTCTTTTAGAATTAAGTGAAACCGGATATTAGTGCACTTTTTATTCCAAGTTTGATTTCGGTTGAGCCACTCAGAATCTGTCACAGTAGATTTAGCCTTGACTGATGAACATACGTTCCATCCTCTGCCTGACCTTATGATTTCATCCTACACCTTGGAATCATTTGGAGTTTCTTCCCCATCCCCAGACTTTTTGAATGTGCTAGAAAATGTATCTAAAAGAATTACTTTTTCAGGCAATGTATAATATAAATGTAACTTCTATTTTATTAGTTGTAATGATTGTCACTGGTTAATAAGAGGTAATGTTTTACTTATATATTGATTTTGTAATGTTTATGTAAATCTTTTATAGTAGTATGTACCTCATTTTAGATGAGTCACATTTCAGGTGAGAGGCACGCATGGTGATGTGTGCTCATGAACTCTGTGGTTTCCTTAGCAGTGATTCTCATTTTAAAACTATCATAATCCCCCAATTACAGCATTTGTTGCATTGTGGAACTTTACTGGTAATTTGTGTTTGTTTTTTTTTTAAGTTGAAACGGATTTTTCTTTTATATACTTATGTTTTTATGTATGAAAATCTAATTGAAAGTTAGAAAGTTATCTGAAGCCTTCTGCAGATAAACTTTAAAATATTTCATACATATTCTTAGGGTTCAGGTTTCTCTCATTAAAAGAATGGTTCGGGCCGGGCGCGGTGGCTCAAGCCTGTAATCCCAGCACTTTGGGAGGCCGAGTCGGGCGGATCACGAGGTCAGGAGATCGAGACCATCCTGGCTAACACAGTGAAACCCCGTCTCTACTGAAAAATACAAAAAACTAGCCGGGCGAGGTGGCGGGCGCCTGTAGTCCCAGCTACTCGGGAGGCTGAGGCAGGAGAATGGTGTAAACCCGGGAGGCGGAGCTTGCAGTGAGCTGAGATCCGGCCACTGCACTCCAGCCTGGGCGACAGAGCGAGACTCCGTCTCAAAAAAAAAGAATGGTTCGGTGAGTTAAACACTATAAAACTATAGTGTTATTTAGTAAGAAAGATAAAACCTAAGCAGTTGTCAAGATTCATAATTTATTTCTGAAGGAGGAAAATAGTTAATCTAATTTTATTAGGAAAATTATCTGTTTTGTGGATATTTAGAAATACTGTACAAATGCAAAAAGAAATTCAATATAAAAGATTGATTTAGGCCAGGCGCGGTGGCTCAAGCCTGTAATCCCAGCACTTTGGGAGGCCGAGACGGGCGGATCACGAGGTCAGGAGATCGAGACCATCCTGGCTAACACAGTGAAACCCCGTCTCTACTAAAAAATACAAAAAAAAAAAAAATAGCCGGGCGAGGTGGCGGGCGCCTGTAGTCCCAGCTACTCGGGAGGCTGAGGCAGGAGAATGGCGAAAACCCGGGAGACGGAGCTTGCAGTGAGCTGAGATCCGGCCACTGCACTCCAGCCTGGGTGACAGAGCGAGACTCCGTCTCCAAAAAAAAAAAAAAAAAAAAAAAAAGATTGATTTAAAGTTACTGTGTAATAAATGGATATATATCGAATAGAAATAGGATCTCTTCTACTTAGGTCAGAAAAATGATAATTATAAAAATGTATAATTGAGAATTAGGTAAATGTTATAATTAAGGTGAATTATAAATATTGTGAAATTGTTGCAATTAATGAAATAGAGAATCATCTTCTCTTTTAGGTTGTAAAGGCATATGATCGTGTGGAGCAAGAATGGGTTGCCATTAAAATAATAAAGAACAAGAAGGCTTTTCTGAATCAAGCGCAGATAGAAGTGCGACTTCTTGAGCTCATGAACAAACATGACACTGAAATGAAATACTACATAGGTAAACAAACAGGCAAACAGTGCAGTGTGCCCCAACCCAGACCAAAACATTGAGTTAATGGTTCTTTTTATCAAAATATTTTGATTTTATTTTAAAGTGGTTGATTAAAAATTTGTTTTTTTCTGTTGGACAGGAAGATTTATATAAGTGACTTGATCTGGTAGTAATAGTCTAAATCTTGGGGAATGTGCCTTCCAGGTAGCGTACCATGTAGAAGAAAATGAGAGTAGTGTGTGTTTTTTTTATTTGCAGCTTACTGGTACCATTTGTTTGCTAATGATGCATATTTATCCATAGGGTCATCTTTCCAGTAACTTTAACCATTTCTAATCTAGCTCAAAAACTAGTTGTGAGCTAGTATGTTGTTAGTGGTTGCGGAACCATTTTTGGGGCATCTGCAGCAAGATCTCAGGCTCCTCTCCAGTCTCTTCATCAGCTTGGCAGCATTAGAAGCTATTAGATTTACGACTACAGAAAAGAGATAATAGCCACTGCTTATTGAATTTCCACCACATTCCTCATGCTTTCCTTCCATCATCTGTAATAATTTATAGCAGTCTTTTAAGGAAGATGGTAGACTCCTTAAATTACAGGTGGTTTGTATAAGAAGCCGCATACCCAGGGTCATAGGGCTCTGCAGCTAGGATCGGAAACTACAGTACTTCTGCCTCACTCCAAAGTCTGTCTGTTTCATTCTTGCTTAGTCTTCCTTCTGAAAACAGAAACAGGAGACAGAAGAATTATGAAAATACTGAAGTCTAGGGCCAGTTGATACATGGACAAGACATCTTCTAATACACTTTCTTTCATAGTATTTTTAATCAAATCTAGTATGTCAGTGATTGTAAGACACCATCATTTCATGTATCATCAAGGAAAAACCTGTTAAGTATTCATATAAGATGCCATCAGTCAAAGATACAGACCTTAAGATCAGCACAGATCCATAGTCACTTGTGTTCAGAAATGCTGACTTTACTTGATACACGTAAGGCTGAGTTTTATTTAACAGATTCTTTTAAGAAAACATTATGGTTCTTTGGTCCCCCCTTAAAAAGGTAGAAACAAATAATGGATGTTTAAAAAGGGAAAGCTTCAGATTGTTTAGATTAGATTTTGTTTGTGAAATACCTCTCATTCCTCATTGTTAAAATATAAAATGAGTTTGTATTAATTTTTCTTAGTTTCTTTATGGATACTGATATAATTCATAATAATACCATTCTTACCTTAAAATCTTTCTTGTCACACTCAGTGAAACTTTGCTGTTCACTGTCAGTTACAACTTACATGAGGTGACCCATTTTCATTCAAAGGTTTTAGAAGCACATCAAGGACATTCTAAGGATGATTGACTTACACAGTGATTTCTAAACATGCCTCCTGCCTTCTCCTCACGCTTGAGTATTTGCTTATGGAGCAGAAAAAATATTGATAGCATTACTGTAACATTTTAATTCTGCTTTATTTAAAAAAGACATAGCTGGCATATAGTTAAGTACTCAAAAAATATTAGCTACTCAGTTACGTATAATGCTAGTATTTTGTTTTGAATAAAGTGACATTAATGATCATTTTATTAATTGTATTAGTTATTACAGATACTCTTTGGATGAGTTTTTAAATTCTTATTTTAGAGATGGTGAATGCATAATGTCTCGAAACAGATTCTGTTTGGGAAACAAAAGCACTTTAGACGAGTTCATGTCAATTGAATTGATACCTTAAGGTATCTGAAAGTCATATTTTGTGATGTAAATTAATTTAAAAAGATTGATGAGTGTAATTTATTCTGATGAGTTTTATCATCTTGTCTTTGAACTTTCAAAAACATCTACTACTTTACCATGTAGCCAAATTTCTTATCTGGATTATTTGGTACCTGCCATGGTCTAGTTAAAATTCAGTTTAAGTCTACAACAAAGTCTTGCCAAGCCCTCCATTCTCCCCAAAATTCAGTTAAAAAGACTGAGCAGATATGCTTGTTTGAGCTTTCTTTGACAATGTCAGCACATTGTAGATACTAAGTAAATGAATGAAGAATTGTGAGGTCAGGTGAAACTGAGTAGGTTGATCTTTCATTGGACGGACATTCTAATCACAGAGCTTCTTAAAGGAATTTTTATAATCACATTAGAATTCTGATGCAGTTACTTTTTGCATTCATTTTGTGGCTCCTGCTTAACCAGGAGATTAAAAGCTACACATGGACCATGATTGTGAGCATGTATCATGGAACTACATTTTTAGTTTTAAACCTATAAACTGAAGTGACTAAGAACAGATATTTTACATTCTTAGGTAACGTTTAAGGATTCCTTTGTTATTTTTAGTATCGAGTTGTGCTGTAGACTCCTCTATAGCCATGTAGTTATTTTTATTGTGTTACTTATTCTAACTTTAGATCACCTATATCATAAAAGATCTAAAAGCAGTATTGATGGCCACTGCTTTGAGGCAGGCAGCCCAGGACTACTCCCAGGAAAACACAATGTATCCACAGTTCTTAGTGATCAGACATTGATTACTCTCAGTTCATTCCAGATAGATCTGTAGAGAAACCTCTCATTTTGTAATAGTATAAAAGAAAATGAAAGTAACCTTGACAGATGGGTAGTTTATGTCATTGCAGTTGTGTCACAGGTGCTCAGTTTGGTGTATGTAAGACTGTTAACAGGGAGGGACAGCACTTTATCGAATAACCTCATCTGATGTGAAGTCAGTGTTAATACTTAAAGCACAATCTTTGAAGCAATTTAGTGAGTATTCAGCCTTTTTAGAGGGTCAACAGTGATAGCGACCTATGTGTTCTATGCTGTTGCCCCACTTACAAGCCTCCTCATCATCTCTTCTTGGAGCTGAGCTTTATTTTGAAGTTTTCCAAACCTTCAGTCTCACACACGAGTTGTCATTTACTAATTTGATAAACACAGTTAAGTCCTCCAATACTTTTACCAAAGCATGATTTTCAAACATTTGTTGTATTTGCCTAAAGGGTAAAAAAAAAAAACCAAAAAAAAAACAAAAAAACAAACACCCATCAATGAAAATTGTGACAGAAAATTACCAGTGAAATGTGAAGTTCTGCAGCGCAGATAAATGTCAAAGCCTACACAGAGGGCTGCCAAGTACAGCATTGTCACAAACCAGAGATCCCAGTAGGTGGAGCTTAGACATAGGAAGTTGTGAGGTAGGACTCTCAGGAAGTAAAAAGTGCTTTCATTTATAAATGAAGATAAAAATTGCTGAAATATTCTTACTACTGTTTGTCCATTTGCTGCTTGTGTTTTCGGATCTGACTTTTAAACAAGGCATTTTGGTAGTACTGCTTACCTTATATCACATTCAGCAGAAGAGCAACTTAGATATTCTTAACTGATTAAAAACTGCTGTTACTACAAAATGCTGATAACTGAACTCTGCATTTGATGTTGTAATAATGTTATAGATCATTTGAGAGTGCATGTGTTTGTTACTCTCATTTTATTGGTATATGTAATTTAAAATGAAACTTTTCTCTTTCAGTGCATTTGAAACGTCACTTTATGTTTCGAAACCATCTCTGTTTAGTTTTTGAAATGCTCTCCTACAACCTCTATGACTTGCTGAGAAACACCAATTTCCGAGGGGTCTCTTTGAACCTCACACGAAAGTTTGCACAACAGATGTGCACTGCACTGCTTTTCCTTGCGACTCCAGAACTTAGTATCATTCACTGTGATCTAAAACCTGAAAATATCCTTCTTTGTAACCCCAAACGCAGTGCAATCAAGATCGTTGACTTTGGCAGTTCTTGTCAGTTGGGGCAGAGGGTAAGTATTATTTCAGAACTTGTGAATTAAATAGGAATTAAATAGAAGTAGGACAGCGTAGGTGTTAGGTTGGCACAAAAGTAATTGCGGTTTTTGGCATTGCAGTTGCCATTTTTGCAATGGCAAAATCACAATTTCTTTTGCGCCAGCCTAATACTCGAAATGTTACTAAGGTGTATACCATTTAGAGGCAATTACTGGATGGTTATTTAGCTTTAAAATGTAGCACTTACTTAACGTGTGGATATCTGTTTTGGGGAAATACCTTTTAAAATGCAAATAGCAATACTTTGAGTCAAAAGACATTAATTTTTTGAAATGGGTATATTTAAAATTGTATGTATGCTAAAAGATTAAGAGAGAGAATAGGAGATGGAATGATTAAATATTAGGGGATTTGTAACTGTATTTCTCAAGTAAAGGTTTTAGTTTAAATTTTGGGACTTTTCAGTACTAGAACATTGAATCTTTGCTGTAAAATTCTTCTCTGAAGATGGATCAAGATAAATCATTTTTCTAAAAAACTGATGGTTCAGAAAAATGCAGGTAATTTTGCCTTAGTCATGGTACTAAAGTATAGAAAATTCAGTTGATAGACGTACTTGTTTTGATAGATAGGTTTGTCTTCTTTTCCCCACTCTTATTTAAAATTTACTTAAGTTCTGACACATGCCCAAGCTGGTTTTTTTGAGACTGCTAAAAACAGATGTGTTCGTAGTGCTGAAAAGTTTAGCTGATTTAGAAAAGCAATTTTTTCCTGTCATTCTTCCGGCATTATGAAAACTACTCTAACGGCATTGTTTTATATGTAAAATAGAAGTTATAGGGGTCTCCTCTTGAAAGGAATTAGTGTCACCATTTGATAATATTTTACTCATTTTTAACACCATTCTTTTTGCTTTTAAGTATTGAAACTATATTTCTTCTGTTTTAAAGAAACCCAACTAACATACAGATGTTAATTTTTCATACTGACTTTTCTGTTTCTTATTTTTCCAAATTAGTGAAATTTTCTGTCCTGTCCACTTTTGTCCAGGCTTTAACTATAACAGATTAATCATAAGGATTTATAGCCAGTTAATAGGACTGTCTTTTTGTTATTTTCTGCAACTTCTCTTATGGCAGTGATGCTATCGAGTGTTGAAGTAATTTTTAAAAATTGGAGTAGGGACCAAAGTTTGCAGTTTTAGATGCCTTCAAAAAATCAAGAGATGCTCGTAGTTTATATGGGATAGAGTGTATTGTGAATGAAAAATACATGCCCATCTTGAGAGTAATTTGAATAGCTTATAGAGTTGGGAAGTTTTTCCTCTATTTAAGCCGAATTATATAGTTTGTCCTAATATTAAACATTATTATTTCTGTCTAGCCAAAGTAAGCCTGTTATCCCTATAATAAGTTTTTAATTATTCAAGTTCATTGGCATCACATGGGAAGTTATTTCTAAAATAGACCTGCCATGTCCCTGCCCCTAGATCTATTGGATTAGAATCAGAAGGTGGTAGGGCAAGTGTGTTTTGGGGAAAGCAACTGCTTTAAACAAATTAGATAGGGAGGTGACAAAGTTCCTGGCATAAGCTGTGAAATAAAAGTCTCAGGAGTGGTGAGTGTTTGGGCCTAGGGAATTAACAGTGGTATTGGCTTATAAAAACCTTGGAAATGCAGTACTTCTTCCCAGTTCTTTTAAATTAGACTTTCTTCTCATAGTTCCTTAAGGTTGGTTGACCTGTCTATGGAGGCCTGAGATTGTTCTTGAAGACTTGGCTGGAGGTTTCAGTGGGAATCACAGAAAATTTCATGAGCTTTCTGGCTGCATGGTTTGGGTGTTAAGTTAGGAAATTTAATTAGGAGGATTTTCTTTCTTTCCCCCTTTTAATAAGTGAAACAAATTGGTCTCTGAAGAGATCCTCACATTACTTCATTGAAAATAGTTCATGTCAGGATTGTGTTTCTGTAAGAAGTCTTGGATGGAGGTAGAGAGAGAAGAGAGAAGAAGCTATTGATCAGAGACAGCTCTCAATTGAATCTTTATGTGGTAGTGTTTCTGGGATTTATCTGTGAGACAGCAAGAGTACAAGTGTCTGAATTTTAAATTACATTATATTGAAGTTACTTGACTTTTAACGCTGAGAAATACATTGTTGAGGTTAATTTAAATACAGTTTAGTTGTTAAGATAGTGGTAAACTAAGTGCCAGCCATAGTAGGAAGAAATAATTATTAGGGAAATAAATTACTTTCAATAGTGTTTGTTTTTTTTTCTAGTGAGGCATAATTGTTTTAAGAAATATCATGGTGACTAGGTAGGATTAGACTAAATGAAAGGGCTTGAATCTTTATAAGTATGACGCATTTCACGATCAGATTAACCAGTCCCTAGAAATGTTTAGTTCTTTAAGCCATATTCATAGTCTTATGTTGAAATTAGTCAGTGGAACCCTAATTTAGGAGTTAGCCAATTCTTTTCTGTTAATATCACGTCAATGTTTTTAATCCAATGCTGACTGCAGTTTTGAGCAATTGAAGTAATACTATTTTGAAATATATTTCAGATATACCAGTATATTCAGAGTCGCTTTTATCGGTCTCCAGAGGTGCTACTGGGAATGCCTTATGACCTTGCCATTGATATGTGGTCCCTCGGGTGTATTTTGGTTGAAATGCACACTGGAGAACCTCTGTTCAGTGGTGCCAATGAGGTAAATGATGTATTGCTGTACAAATTCTGTTTTCATACTTTCTTTTTGTCTTTCATCTGTGACAGTGTAATTTAAAAGTTGTGTTTAGGCAAAGATGTCTATTTGATCATTCAAATGTGAGGTCAGTTTGAATATACCTATTTTTTCGTATTTGTCAGTTGTCATATAATGTAAAGTTTAGAATTATGAGATAGGAGTAGGATATTTTAATCTCATGAAGGAGAACAGTTAATTAGATTAGAAAGTGTTAAGTATTTTGGCATACATTTTACAGGTTTTAAATACAGTAACAGAAAGCTTAAAAGGTGATAAGGAATGACGGCCTTCCTGCAGAGATACAAACATCACTCTAAATTTTGAGATTATGATTTGGAGTTGAAGAGGTAATGATCAGTAGGACTGATGGATACTCAGTCTGAATAATGTAGAGTAAACTAGATTATAGAATTGTCGGGCTACAGAGACTGTGTGCAATTCTGTATTCCACAGGTTTTCAGTCTGTGTTCTGGAATATTTTTGAAGGTCAGAGGCAGTGAATGGGAGGGCGGGGACAGACCACACCTCCCTGCAGTCAGAGAAATCGGGCTTTCATTGTTTTAAAAACTATTCACCTGTGGGGTTTTGTTTGTTTTTTAAAAGAAAAATGGACCATTGCAGATCTTGATCAGTCTATTTATAAGTGAGAAGAGAAAGGCCAAAGGCATTAATGACTTGTACCGGATTATGCAGCTGTTAATAGGTGGTGTCAGAAACTTGTCTCTTCCATCCTTCCTTTTAAATTTTTTTTTTTTTTTTTGAGATGGAGTCTTGCTCTGTTGCCCAGGCTGGAGTATAGTGGCGCAATCTTGTTTCCCTAGTAACTGGAATTAACAGGCAGCACCACCATGCCTGGCTTATTTTTGTATTTTTACTAGAAATGATGTTTCACCATGAGAGCAGCTCCTGCCCTGACCTGAAGTGGTCTGCCCGCTTCAGCCTCCCAAAGTGCTGAGATTACAGGCGTGAGCCACTGCCCGGCCCCTTTTAATTCATTTCAACTTGAACTGGTGAGCTACTCTTTGATAGTAACTGCCATGGTTTGTTTTTGTTTTAGTATAAATCTTACTTTGTAAACTAGTATCTTTCTTGGGCTTAAACAATATTTGAAAAACTTTGCTGTGTTACTCATTGTAAAGGCCGAGGTCCTTTGAGTAGCCCACAGATTCCTGCTCCCTCTGATGCCAGTTCTCTCACCACTACCTGGTCTCTCCTTCTCCCCTCACTCTGTAGTCCATACACAGCTTTCTCTGTGGTCCGTTGAAAATGCCAGCCACAGGCCCATACTCAGCCCTTTGCATTTCTTCCTTCCTGTGCCTAAAATTCTCTTTCCGAGCTAGTCCCTTGGCTGATGTTAGTGTTTGCTCTGATGTCACATTCTCGGTGAAACCATATACCCCACTTATGGTTGCAGTACCCCTTCTCATCCCATAGTTCTTAGCCAGCATCTGACATCATGTATTTAATTATTTATTGATACGGCTGGGCGCAGTGGCTTACGCCTGTAGTCACAGCACTTTGGGAGGCTGAGGTGGGCAGATCACTTGTCAGGAATTCGAGACCAGCCCGGCCAACATGGTGAAACCCCGTCTCTACTAAAAATACAAAAATTAGCCTAGCTTGGTGTCGCATGCCTGAAATCCCAGTTACTTGGGAGGCTGAGGCAGGAGAATTGCGTGAATCTGGGAGGTGGAGGTTGCTGTGAGCTGAGATTGCGCCACTTCTGCTTCAGCTTGGGTGATAGAGTGAGACGCCATCTAAAGAGAAAATTAGCCACTCATAGTGGTGCATGCTTGTAGTCCCAGCTACTCAGGAGGCTGAGGTGGGAAGATCACTTGAGCCCGGGAGGAGGTCAAGGCTGCAGTGAGCTGTGATTGCACCACTGCACTCCAGCTTGGGTGACAGAACGAGACCTTGTCTCAAAAATAAGTAAATTTAAAAAAAATTTAAATAAAATTCCCCAAGAACGGAAACTTTAAAACTTCCTCTCATGTTTCCTCACTGTTCAGCATTGTATCCATGGCTACCTGACATAATATGTTTGTTAATTGACTATCTTCCCTTCTGTGGGGTATTCCCTTCTGTGGGGTATCAAGGAAGGTAGGGCTTTTCTTGTGTTTGTTCATTGCTGTATGCTGGATATCTAGAGGAGTGCCTGACACATAGGAGGTGTGCAGTTTATTTATGAATGAATGACTTGATGAGCAGGAGTAGATGTACAGTAGAAATGACAGGTTTTATTGTTTTTATTTTTAATACAGGTAGATCAGATGAATAAAATAGTGGAAGTTCTGGGTATTCCACCTGCTCATATTCTTGACCAAGCACCAAAAGCAAGAAAGTTCTTTGAGAAGTTGCCAGATGGCACTTGGAACTTAAAGAAGACCAAAGATGGAAAACGGGTAAAATAAGGATATATCTGTTTTGAGCCTTTATTAAATTTATCATACCTGTCTTTTTATAGCTCATTTTGCATTTACTTGAAATCAGTGTTTCAGTCAATGATTTTATTGATACCTTACATAGGTATTTTGTTCAGAAGTTGAGTATAGTTTGACCTAACTATCAGGTATGGACCAGTGTTTGATTAATGGTCAGAGTTATCTTTAAAACTTCATATTAAAAACTGTATGCCTGCATTTTGAGGCAGCTGATCACATCACCATACTTTGTTTCAACAGAAGAATTAGTAAGTTTGACCTTTGTTTCTCACAGCTTGGGCATGTAGTGAGTTAATACTGCAGCTGTGAACAGAAGTCACAATTGGTGTAAATGATTTTTTTTTAAGTTCAGTTGGTAAATTATGTCAGAAGATGATTTTTGGCTTAAGTAGTATGTGATTTTTTTTCTAAGGATATTAACTAACTAGATAGTCCTTTGATAGACTTCAGATTCCTAGCTCAATGACTTGGATAGCAAAAATTTCACATCTCCAAAATCTTTGAAAGTGAGGTTTTTAAAACATTAGGTTTGTTTTAGTAATTTTCTTTTATCTGAGGACTTTTTTAAAGATACCTAAATTATGTCAATTTAATAGAGTAAATGATGTCAATTTTGCATCTTGATTTTTTACTTTTGTTTTATAGATCTGTAAATAATCATGTTTTGTAATTTAGTTTGGTCATAGTATTGAATGAGTGTAATTTATAAATATGTGATTGAATATGACCCCCCCCCACACACACACACGTACATACAGAAGTCACCTTGTGATCGAAGTTTTGCATTTATAACATTGAAGAGTTTATTTTTGTTTCAGTTATTATTTTGCATTGTGTTTTAGCGACACTGCCACCAGGTGTCATTTTCAGCAAACTGAAGGTGATGGTGGTTGATTGCCTTAATTCACTTCCACATAGCTGCGGAGTCATAACTTTTAATATCAGATTATTTTCTTTAGAATATTTAGAAGCACATATGTAATTGTATCTTTCAGAACTGATGTGTAAGTTATTGTGTTCTGCCATATTCACTAAAGCTGTAGGCAGTGCAGTTTCCAGCTGCTAAATTATGCCTATTCCCCATGAGGAAAGGATGGAAAATACTATTGAGACCTCCTGGGCCGTTGTTTTTTCTTTATCCACATAGCTCATTAATCATGGCCCATTTTCCATATAACCAAAACTTAGCCTGGGAATCCTTACTAGCTTCACCAGCATTTAAAGGAGTTCCTACCAGTTTGAATTAGCATGGAGAGGAAATTAAATCTTTTTTATGTTGTCTCTCTCTGTGATACAGACTGCTGCTTTCTCCATTTCAGATTTATTTATCTATATTTTGCTTCTGCTATTTTTTCCTCAATAAAACATCCCATTCCATCTCTTAAATCTCTGCCTTACAAAAACCACAGTGACCTATCATTTCTTTCAAATTGATCTATAGGTATTATTTTTAGTTGTTTGGGGTGGGGGCATTTCAGAAATGAGTAGATTGTCTTTTTCCCTTTTAAAATTGGAAGTAGATAATATACATTTAATATATGTAAATTAAGTAGATTTTTATGAGATTTGTTTTAGTCACACTTAGCAATTAAGCAGCTTAATTTTTAAAAACATGAAATAATTATTTTGCTTTTAAGAGATACATTTTGCAACAAAAATATCAAATTCATTATCAAATTATTACATTACAAATGGTACACTAAGAATTTTGACCAGAGATACAAATAGAATGTGCATGTACTTTCATTGGCTGTCTCTTTGTGGTTTGTTTACTGATTTTATTTTTACTTTTACTTTCTCATTTTACATTTCAAAAGCCCCATATTAGGGTTTTCCAATAATGAAATAAATACTATTTTTTTTTTCTTGATGGAGGTGGAGAGTGAAGAAGACAATAAATGATGCTGTTTTTTGAAGTACAGTTTATGTATTGTAAGATACACAGATTTTAAGAATTGAGTTTGTTTTCACCTTTATGTACAGCAATGCCCCCATCTACACCAATATGAAAGACTTCTATCACCCCAAATCCTCTTGTGACCCTTTTCTGTGATCTCCCTGCTTTCTGATTTCTGTCATCAAAGACTAGCTTTGCTTTTTCATTGGCAAACAGTATAAATGGAGCCTTATAGTATTTATTGTTTAGTTTTGGGTTTTCTTCACTCAATAAATGTATTGCTTTTGGAAATTCATCAATATTGTATGTCTTAGGAATTTTTTTTTATTGCTTCAAGATATTTCATTGAATGAACATGCCATAATTTGTATTCACCTGTCAGTGGTCATTTGGTTTGTTCCCAGTTTGGGACTGTTATGAATAAGGCTACTGAGAACATTCTTTCATACGTATGTTTTCATTTCCCTTACAGCACAATCTAAGAGTAGAATTGCCAGGTCATAGGTATGTGTTTACCTTCACAAGAAAACACCAGTTCTCCAAAGTTGTTTTATTTTATATTCCCATGATATATGAGTCTTCCAGTTGCATGACATCCTCACTATTTTATATAGTTTGTCTGTTGGATTTTAGCCATTCTGTAGTGGATATGTAATGGTTTGCATTTGCATTTCTTCATGGCTAATGATACCACCTTTTCGTATGCTTATTAGCCTTTCATATATCTTCTTTGTCACAGGTCTTTCCCATCTTTTGCTTGTGTTACTGAGTTGTTTAATGACTGAGTAGTCCTTTGTCATTAAGTTTTTTTGTCACATATATGTCAGTGTATTTCCCTAGACTGTGGCTTGCCTGTTCCTTTCTTAATATGGTATCTTTTGATGAATAGGAAGTTTTAATATTGATGAAGTTGTATTTGTCAACTTTTTTTTTTTTTTTGGATTTTTTTATCCTGAGAAATCTTCGCCATCTCCAAGTTTGTGAAGATACTCTTCTATGTTTTCTTCTAAAAGGTTTTTTCTTTTTTTTAATCTGCTTTTTACAGTTAAGATTCTGTGGTCCGGCTTGAATTAATTTTTGAGTGTGGAATAGGGTGAAGGAGTTGAAGTTAATTTTCTTCCATATGCTTACATCATAGTTACAGTAGCATTTGATGAAAGCAATTATTTTACCCTATTGATATGTTTTCAATTCTAGGTCCTTTCTATTCACACATGAATTTTAGAATCAGCTTGTAAATTTCTACCAAAAAATCATGCTAGCATTTTGATTTGGGTTGCAATTGGGGTTTCCGTCAGGAAAATGGACATCTTAACAATATTAAGTCTTCCACTCTATAAAGATGGGTTATCTCTCCATTTATTTAGGGCTTAAAATCTCTCAGCAGTGTTTTATAGTTTTTAATGCAGAAGTCTTACATATTTTGTTCACTTTATTCCTAAGTTTTTAATTTTTTAGATGCTATTTTAAATGACATTTAAAATGTATAATTTCATAATTTTTCATTTTTAGTATATAGAAATGCAACTGATTTTTGTATCCTAAGACCTTGCTAAATTCACCTATTCTAGTACAGATAACCCTTGAACAATACAGGTGTGAACCACACAGGTCCACTTGTATGCAGATTTTTTTCCAGCAAATACAGTCAGTCCTCTGTATCTGAGGGTTCCACATCTGCAGTCAAATGTGGATCAAAAATACAGTATTCCCTGGATGTGAAACCTGTGTATGAGGGCTAACTTTTCACATATGTGGGTTCCACACAGCCTCCTTGTGGAGCTTGAGTATGTGTGAATTTTAGTATATTTAGTAGGGGGGTCCTGGAACCAACCCCCTGCATATACTGAGGGATGAATATATTTTCGTTGTTGAAATTTGATGGGGCTTTCTACTTAAACAATCTTATGCTCCATGAATGAAGACAGTTTTATTTTTTCAATTGTATATCTTTTTTGCTTTTTTAATATCATAAGTGGGTTTTGAATATTGTCATGTTTTTTCTGCATCTGTAGGTATCATCATACGGTTTTTCTCCTGTGTTGTGGTAAAATGCATTAATTTTTTGAATGTTAAGCCCCACCCTATGATAAACTACACTTGGCCTTGATATACTATTCTCATATATATATTGCTCAGTTCAGTTTGCTAATCTCTTGGTAAGGAATTTTGTTTCTATGTCATTAATGGATATTTGTCTAAAGTTTTATTAATAATACCATCATTAGGGTTTGATTTTAGGGTTATGCTGGACTTGTGAAACTATTAGGAAATATTTTTTCTTGATTTTTCTGAGAAAATTTGCATATGATTGGTTGACATTATTTCTTTTGTAATGTTGAGTAGAGGTCATTGATGAAACCATCAGAACCTGGGGCATTTTTTGTTAGAAGGTTATTTCATTATAATTTATGTTTTTTTGTTAAAAATATGGTTATCCAAATTTTTTAAGTTGGTTTTGGTAAGTTGTATCTTTCAAGAAGCTTTTCTTTCTCACCTAAATTGTTGAATTTGTTGGCATAAAATTATCAATAATATTTTACTTTTTTTTTAGTATCTAGAGAATCTATAGTGATAGTTTTTTTTTTTTTATTGCTAAGTCTCTCTTTTATTCCTGATATTGGCCGTTTGTACTTCCTGTTTTTTCCCCAAGTAGTCTTGCTCAGGGTTGATCAAGTTTATTAATCCTTTCAGACAACCAGCTTTTGACTTTGTTGATTTCTTTTTTTTTTTTTTCTATTCTTTTTTTTTTTTGAGACGGAGTCTCGCTTTCTCTCCCAGTCTGGAGTGCAGTGGCGCGCAATCTCAGCTCACTGCAAGTTCTGCCTCCCGGGTTCACACCATTCTCCTGCCTCAGCCTCCTGAGTAGCTGGGACTACAGGCACCCGCCACCATACCTGGCTAATTTTTTGTATTTTTAGTAGAGATGGGGTTTCACTGTGTTAGCCAGGATGGTCTCGATCTCCTGACGTTATGATCTGCCTGCCTCGGCCTCCCACAGTGCTGGGATTACAGGTGTGAGCCACCGTGCCTGGTCTCTTTTTCTATTCTTGATCTAGTTTCTTTTTTTTTTTTTTTTTTTGCTCTTCATTATGTCCATTTGCTTGGGTTGAATTTACTCCTTTTCTTGCTTCTTAAAGGTGGAAACTAGATCATTGATTTTTAAGCGTTTTTGCTGCTGTAGAATTTAATGGTATGAATTTCCCTCTAAGCACTGCTTTAGCTGCGTTCTGCAGCTTTTTGTATGTTTTTGTTGTTGGTTTTTCTTTTTTGTTTTCTTTTTCTTTTTTTGGAGACGGAGTCTCGTTCTGTTGCCAGGCTGGAGTGCAGTGGTGCAATCTTGGCTCACTTCAACCTCCGCCTCCCAGGTTCAAGCAACTCTTCTGTCTCAGCCTCCCAAGTAGCTGGGACTACACACACCCAGCTAATTTTTGTATTTTTAGTAGAGGCAGAGTTTCACCATATGACCAGGATGGTCTCAATCTCTTAACCTCATGATCCACCCGCCTTGTCCTCCCAAAGTGTTGGGATTACAGGCGTGAGCCACCACACCTGGCCGCTTTTTATATGTTTTAAACAGTCATTCTGAAATGTTTCTAACTTGTGATTCCTTCTTTAACCTGTCATTATTTAGAATTTTGTTACATAATTTCAAAATATTTGAGGATTTTGTAGATATCTTACTGATTTCTAGTTTAGTAGCAGTTTGGTCACAGAACGTGATTTCAGTCCTTTAAAACTGAGACTTGTTTTATGGCCTAGCATCTAATGTGTCTTTGTGAATGTTTTACGTGTGCTTGATAAGAATTGTATTTTGTGTTTGTTTGGTGTAGTAGTCTCCAACTATCAATGTAGATGAAATTGTTTTATATTTTTCTTCATATCTTTTGTATCTTTGTGTATGTGTATATTCTGTCAGTAATTGAGAGAGGAGTCTTCATTGATAAGTTTGGATTTGTCTTAGACTCCTTTGTAACATTGCTTTATGGTTTTTGAAGCTTTGTTAATAGGTGTATGCGTGTTTGATATTGTTATGACTTATTGATAAATTGACCCTTTTATCATCCTGAAATGCCCCTCTTTGTCTCTAGTAATGTTTGTCTTTAAGTTTGCTTTGTCTGATACTACTGTAGTCTTACCAGTATTCTTATTCTTGGTATTTTCATGGGGTGTGTGTGTGTGTGTAGATAAAAAAGATATGAAGAAAAGTATGCAACATGTGTATACACACACACACACTTTTACCCTTTTACTGTAAACCTGTGCATACCTTTATATTTACAGAATTATTTTTGTGTTGTGTGCAATATATGCTCAGGTTGTTTTTTAATCTAGTCTGATAGTAGTTAATCCATTATTCAGAGTTTTGATTTAATTGCGTTCTGTTTGTCTTTCCTGTTCGTTGTTTCCTGTTCCTTCTTTCCTGCCTTTTGTGGGGAGGTTTGTTGAATACTTTTGGCATTTTATTTTATCTCCCATATTGATTTTTTACTTACTCCTCTGTGTGTCATGTTTAGTGTTTCTTTTATAATATGCACCATTAACATTAGTTTACCTTCAAATAATAATATATTGCTTGTTAAACAGTGTGATAACCATGTGATTCTATCTACCTCTTGTGCACTTGTTGTATTACTTTTGCATGTTACACCTCACAACACATTATTGGCTGTTTAAATAAAAAATAGATTTAAACACACAAAAGAAATTTAAAAGCACATAAAATAAGGATAATAGATCTTTTATATTTATCCTTATATTTGAACTTTTCTGGTGTTCTTCATTACTTTTTGCAATTCCTAGCTTCCATCTGGTATTATTTCTTTAGCCTCAAGACCTTCCTTTAACTTTTATTTTATAATGAGTAAGTTATCCTAATGAATTCTGTCAACAGGTGTTGATCTGAAAATATTTGATCTGAAAAATATTTGTTGATCTGAAAATATTTACCTTTACCTTTATTTTTTGGAAGATATTTTCAGTGAATATAGAATTATAGATTAACTACTTTCTTTCAGCAAAAGAAAAAGATGTTACGATATTGCTTCCAGGTATATTGACTTTTTTTCTGGATTACACTGTTTCTGTAGAGAAATCAGTGGTTATTCTTAGCATTATTCCCCTGCATATAATATTTGCCCCTCTTCCCTCTGGCTGATTTTAATGTTTTCTCTTTGTTTGATTTCTACAGTTTGACTATTTACCTACGTATGATTTTCTTTGTATTTATTCTCCTGGGAGTTCACTGAGTTTCTTGGATCTGTGGGTTGACCTCTATCATCAGTTTTTGAAAATCCTCAGACATAGTCTTTCCAAATATTTGTTCTGCTTTCATCTTTCTTCTAGTTCTCCAGTGATATGTATGTTACAGTGCTGAATATTATCCCAGTGGTCTCTGATTTATTCATTCTGTTTTCTGTTTGTGTTTTTAATTTGGATAATTTCTTTTTCTGTCTTCTGGTTCACTCATTTTGTTTTTCCTTATGCTGAGTCCAGTCTGCTGGTGAATCTGTTAAATGGATTCATGTGATGTTACTGTTATTTTTGAGACAGGTTCTCCCTCTGTCGCCCAGGCTAAAGTGCAATGGTGTGATCATGGCTCATTGCAGCCTTAACTTCCTTGGCTCAAGGAGTTCCTCTGCCTCAGCCTCCCAGGTAGCTCAGACTACAGGAGTGGTACAGGCACCATACCCAGCTATTAAAATTTTTTGTAGGGATGGGGTCTGACTATGTTGCCTAGGCTGGTCTTGAACTCCTGGACTCAAGCAGTCCTCCCACCTCAACCTGGGTATAGAGACATGAGCCCAGCCTATATTTTTTAGTTCTGGCATTTCTATTTTGTTTTAAATGTGGTTTTTCTCTTCTGAAATTCTACATCTGTTCATATGTTGTCCACCTTTTGAACTAAATTGTTTAATTATCATAATTTATTAGAAGTAAATTATCGTAATTATTTTAAAGTTCCAGTCTGCTACTCTCAACATCTGTACCATTTATTTATGTGTATCTTCTATTGGGTTTTTTTCCTTTCATGTGATTGTGGACATCATTTTTTAAAAATGTCTGTAATTTTAAAATGTGTGACAAACTTTCATTGCTTAAGAACAGTTAAAGATGAATCATATTTTCCCTCAGAAAGAGGCCTCTTACTCTGTCAGGTCCCTCATGTGGGGCTGATTTGATTTCTTTTGTAGCTTAGCTGACTCTAGGCTTTGCTTGTTTGACTTAGATTATATTCCCCACTGTCTTCAGATGTTTTGAGCTGGGATCACGACATTCGCTTCAGCAGTGTTTGTGTCTTTAGAACCAGGGAAAATCTAGTGGTCTCTATACATTACTGCGCAGCCAGCAGCCCCACTCCTAACCCTCCGTGCCTGGGAGATCGCCTTCCTCCTGCTGTACTGCCCTATCCTGTCTGTCCACACCTGACCGTCAGAAGTTGGTTCAGACTTGGGCTGGAGTCTTCTCGCTCACCTGTGGCGTGCTTCTCTTTCTCCCACTGCAGATCTCTTCCAGGAGAGACTTTTCATTTTGTAGAATTCAGGGGATTTTTGTTCCAACTTTGGATCCTCAGGCAGCTCTCTGATGGGTCTTTAAAAGTCAGTGATTTTATGACTTATTAGAGAAGGAACAATCATCTCACACATTTCTGCATTGTAACTAGAAGTCAAAGTCTGGTTATGCTATTCTTAATAAATTCAATATTTATAGAGGTTTTAAGGGTTATACTGTTATCTATCAAAAAATGGGTTTTCAGGAAATCTGAACACACGTTAATTTATTATTACATAGATTTTCTAAAGGGAAGCATAGATAATTTTCTCTTTTTCTACTCTGAGCAGGTAGGGTTAGGCCAGTGCCTTTTTATGTAGAACATCCTTGGTGTGATTGCCATAGCTTTCTTGGGCTGCTGTTGGTGAAGGAAGTGTAGCAGGTGCCGAGGGTGCACAGTTAGGCAGGAAAGAGGCTACCAGCCAGGGTGGGCAGGGGCACGCGTGTTCTCTGTAAAAGACAAGAGAGAAAATGCTTTCAGCCTTGTGGGCCTCTGTTGCATGTTTTTTGGTTTTGGTTGCTTGTTTTTACAACCTTTGAAAACAGAAAAAAAAAACGTTTGTAGCTGGTGCTGTAGAAAACCAGGCTCTGGATTAGGCCACAGTTTACTGACCCCAGGGCCATTTATAGCCATTTTTGGTCTCAGAATTATGTTGAACTGTAACTACCATGCATTTGGGATACTAATGTGTGAAAAGGCAGAGCATTTAATTATGAAGTGTCCTTTTTAATAAAGGCCTCAACATATATTTAAACATATTTGAAGTTAAATTATGTGTTTACAAAAGTATTCCACCAAATTTAGAGAAAGCCTTTCATCTTCTCTCTTACAGGAGTACAAACCACCAGGAACCCGTAAACTTCATAACATTCTTGGAGTGGAAACAGGAGGACCTGGTGGGCGACGTGCTGGGGAGTCAGGTCATACGGTCGCTGACTACTTGAAGTTCAAAGACCTCATTTTAAGGATGCTTGATTATGACCCCAAAACTCGAATTCAACCTTATTATGCTCTGCAGCACAGTTTCTTCAAGAAAACAGCTGATGAAGGTACAAATACAAGTAATAGTGTGTCTACAAGCCCCGCCATGGAGCAGTCTCAGTCTTCGGGCACCACCTCCAGTACATCATCAAGCTCAGGTCTGTGTTGCTGCGGTTAGATTAGGCTTGGGAATGTTTTGTGTTTTTTTTATGAAGTGGGATTACTTTAAAGTGTTGATTAAATTTGTTAATTTAATGGGGAGCATTTACTTTACTTAAATCTGTTCTTTATAGTTAGCAATAAATTCATCTCCCCAAAGCTCCAATATTTAGTTACGCATGTAATAAATTCTGTTTGGCAGTTGGAAATCTATTTACTAACCAGCAGTTTAAACTACTTCTTACGTGGAATTTTTGTCCACATTGCTTGAGTTTTCCCGCAAGGGGAAACCAGACTTCATTGTGTTTTAGTTCAGTGGTGGATGAGAGAGAACCTGGTTTTAGTCAGAGAATATGAAGACTTTGTGATATACTTTCAAGTTAATATTAGAGATTTTGTGGTGTGTGTGTGAATACTTCCAATTTTAATGGTATAGTTTCAGAGTATAAATTTGAACAAATTGAATTTTAAACTCACAGTTGTATTGTTTTGTGTTGTGATATTTCAGGTGGCTCATCGGGGACAAGCAACAGTGGGAGAGCCCGGTCGGATCCGACGCACCAGCATCGGCACAGTGGCGGGCACTTCACAGCTGCCGTGCAGGCCATGGACTGCGAAACACACAGTCCCCAGGTGAGCTCGCACATGGTTGATTTGCTTGTGTCACCTGCCATGCTCAGGTAGAGCAGCACTGGATGCCAGGTGCCTTTAGAATGACCGTATCATTTACCCTAGAAGTTCATGATGTTCTGCTGTCTAAGAAAATATCAGTATTTATCATAGAGAAGCACATTCTTGCAATTGTCCTCCTCCTTGTCTAGAAGTGGCTAACACTTACTGGGGGCATAGCAGTTGTTTTGAACGGTTTTTTTCCTGTGTTTATCTCATTTACCAAAGCAGCATTTTGAGCCTCATGCTTTTTTGATTCCCATTTTACAGTGGAAACTGACTTCTTGGGCTGAGTAAATTTCCCTGGGTCATGATCTTAATGACTTGACTCTGCTTCCTCCCATGATTTTTTAGCACTTGTAGTCCTGGATTATGAATCAGTTTCTGGTTAGATTTTAACCTTTTTGTTGTTGTTGTTTTATTTGTTTTCTGTTTTTAAACCTGTTGAAGAAGAGGATCTAATTAAGTACTTTTTCAAAATTGGAGTGAAGCAGATGGTGATGGTGAAAATATTTAAATCATCTGATAAAGTTGTAAGTTGGTTCATACAGAATTTTGCATGGTGGTGTTTGGAGGTGAGAGGCCAGTGTAGTATTTGATGGATGAGTAAACTACTGTTGATGAAGAGCGCTCTCCATTCTTGTGACTAGGGCAGCTGAATGGTGCTGGAGAAAATCCCACATGCAGCTGTTTGTCAGCGCTGTTAATACCAACCACTGCTGGGCAGTCTTACGTGTTTCCCGAGTTGTCCCATCCTCTGCTGTTCTCTTTAATAATAGTTTCAAACTTTCTACCTCCTCTGCTGTTCTCTTTAATAATAGTTTCAAACTTTCTACCTTTAGAAACCTTTGCCCTCCCCTTCTCTGTTCTCACCCACTCTTTGCATTGTAAGGAAAAGTGTCTTCAGACAGGAACTCTTTCCGTTTTGTAGCATTGAATACATGATCCTGCCTGTATGTGCACTGTCCACTTCTCCTCTACCCCTTTTTTGTTAGAAGCAATGTATTTCTTTTTGCCTAAGGCCAAGCCTACTCATTTCCCCGATCCCCTCTCTCCTGCCATCATGGGGACTTTGCCCTTTGGTCTCCCTCGGCTCTGGTGTCTTCATTCTCTCTTCTTGTGGCTTTTTCTGTTGATCAGCATTTCCTCATCCTCGGGCCTCTCCCATCTTAAGCAGCACCTTTGCGTGTCCCCCTTTCTTTCCCTATACTTCTGCTGCCTGTAGTCTTTGTCTCTTTACTCTGAAGACCTCCTTGCCTGTTCCGCTTAGGTCCTGCCCTCCAGCTCTCCTGCCGGTGTCAGCGGTGACCTTCACTGATGGGTCCAGTGGACACCCTAATGCTATCTTTCTGCATTCTACAACTTCATTTGAAAGTGTTGACTTTTAACCCACTCTTTGAAACACTCACTGCTGGTTTCCTTGGGAGGATGATTCTCTGTCCCCCCATTTCTCTGCCCCTTCCTTCACTGTCTTTTTGTTTTTTTGTTTTTCTTCTACCCACCCCTGAAACCTGAGTGTTCCTTGAGGCGTGACACGTGTCCCTGCCCTTCTCCCCTTAATGTTTCCTCGATGATTTCAGCCACACGTGACGGGGCCTGCAGTCACCATCTTCATGCCAGTTGCTCTTAAGTCTTGACTTCTGACTTAGACTTCACTTCTGAACCCCTAGGGCCTTTCTAATTGTTTACTATGAATGTCACCTTGAAAGTCTCAACAATATGTGCGCACACAGCACATAAACTGGTGTCATCATTTCACTTCCTTCCCAACTCTTCTACTTTTGCCGTTCTTTGTAAAAATGGCCCTAATTTACCCATTTGCTCAAGTCATAAATCTGGGGGCACTTCTCTCTCCGTCTTTCCCCACACTGAATCAGACAGTAAATTATCTGGATTCACCACATCTTAATACGTTTTTATTCTCCACCTTTCACTTTGCCTGGTTGTTATGACCTGTCTTACTAGAAAGAGTTTTGGAGTGTCTAAAACAGTTGTGGAGTGTCTAATTCCATTCACCTGTCAGCACCATTCTCTTCCCTGCAGCCAAGTGAACTTTCTCTAAAGCGGGCTGTTCTTGCTATTTTCCCTACTCTTTTTTTTTTTTTTCTAAGGTGGAGTCTCACTCTATCTCCCAGGCTGGAGTGCAACAGCATGACCTCTGCTTATTGCAATCCCCACCTCCTTAGTTCAAGCAAGTCTCCTACCTCAGCCTCCTGAGTAGCTGGGATTACAGACACATGTCACCATGCCGGCTAATTTTTCTATTTTTAGTAGAGACAGGGTTTTGCCATGTTGGCCAGGCTGGTCGTGAACTCCCGACCTCAGGTGATCTGCCCATCTCGGCCTCCCAAAGTGCAGGGATTACAGGCATGAGCCACCACACCCGGCCTATTGTCCCTACTTTAAACCAGTTTTGACTTGCCCTTCTACCTGAAATGAAATGTAGACTTCTTACCAAGGCATTGGTGCTTTGTGGGTGCTGGTCCCCACCGAGGCCGTTCTTTCTCCTCTTCACTCACCCTAGTCACACTCATTTATTTTTCACTTTGTGTAATATGCCACATTCTCTCTCTCTTTTCTCACATTTCCTGTGCTCTCAGCCTGGAATACTCTTTTCCTCCAGTCCTTTTGCTTTGGTAACTACTATTTATGCTTCAGGTCTTAAGTATCACTACTCCCATGGGCTCTCTCTCAATCTTTAGACTATCCGCCTGTCTCGTCTTCTTCCCTTTCTTTCTTCCAGATCTGTTCCATACTGCAAACACATACAAGAGTAGCATAAGACACCGCGTTCCTCCCACCTGGATTTCACAGAGGTCAAGATTTTGCTTCAAATCCTTTTTTATTACTTAATTTTTGAGTGGTTGGTATAGTCACATGGTTTTAAAAATAAGTAAATATAAAAGGGAATTCAGTGAAAGGCTTTCCTTCCTTCCATGCCTTCTAGCACCTCAATTTCTAAACCAGTGTTACTAGTTTATTAGTTTTTTGTATACTTTTGGAGATATTTTATACATATTCAAGCAAATACAAATACATACTCTTCATCCACCCTTTGTACACAAATAGTACCATACCAGGCAAACTGTTTCAAAACAACTTGGTTTTTCTAGTCTTGACATATATTTTGGAGCACTCTCTGTATCAATACATAGAGAGCTTTTTCATTCTTTTATTTATTTGCATAGTATCCCGTTAGATATTCCGTAAGTCTTTTCACCATTCCCCTGTTGTTTGTTTATTCATGTATTTATTTATTTTTAGAGCTAGGGTCTTGCACTGTCACCCAGGCTGGAATGCAGTGTCGCGATCACGGCTCACTGCAGCCTTGAGCACCTGGGCTCCAGTGATCCTCCCACCCCAGCCTCCTGAGTAAATGGACCTACAGTTGTGTCCCAGCACACCCTGCAGTGAGGTCTCACTATGTTTCCCAGGCTGGTCTTGAACTCCTGGGCTGAACTGATCCTCCCACCTCAGCCTTCCAAAGTGCTGGGATTATAGGCGTGTGCGCTTTGGCCACCAGTCCCCTATTTATTAATGGGCGTTTAGTTCATTTCCGACCTTTTTTACTATTTACAAATGGTACTTTAATAAATAATCCTGTACAGTAGTGTCCCTTCTTATCCATGGTTTCAGTTATTCAGTCATTCATGATCCAAAAATATTAAGTGGAAAATTTCAGAAATAATTCATAAGTTTTAAATTCTGTTACGAGTAGCACGATGAAATCTCATGCTGTCCCACCCTAGGCATGACTCATCCCTTTGTCCAGCGTGTCCACACAGTAGATAAGTTGCTTTGTAGCCATCCAGATTATCAGATCAAAAAACATAATATACAGAGGGTTTGGTCCTCTGCAGTTTCAGGCATCCAGTGGGGATCGTGGACTGTATCTCTTGCGGATAAGGAGGCACCACTGTATGTGTCTCATTCACACATACACATTTTATCTGTGATACAAATTCCTGCAAGCAGAATGACTGTTTCAAAGGGTAATGTGATTTATAATTTTGATAACTATTGCCAGATTGCCCCCCATGTGATTTTCTAATCCAGTAACTTGATTAACTTCATATATAAACAATTAGTATTTTCTTTTCTGAGAACTCACTGCCAACTTTTCTACTGATTGTTTTCAGTAGTATCTCTTAAAAGTTTGGTTCTCAGACCACCTTCGTTGAATAAACATTTAATTTGTGCCAGCCACTGGTGATAGAGACTGAGCCTTTTGCCTTCCTAGAGCTTACAGTGCCACAAGTAAATAAAATGAACATGAATAAAAGTGGCAAGTAGCATTAGCTCTTAAAAAGAAAATAAGGATGATTTGGTAGAGAATGACTATTTGTTGGATATAGGATGTATTAGAGTAGGCCAAACTCTGATATGACAGACCCCCAAAATATGGTAGCTTAAGGAGTACCAAGTTTCCTTCATTTTTGTCTAACAGTCCAGAATAGGTGTTCAGGTTAGTGGCTAGGCTGTCTTCCAGGTCCTGTTTCCTACCATCTTGTGGTTCCACCATGCCCTAGGGCCTGATTGTCGACTGTGTCCAGCGGGCAGGAGGACTTGGGAGGTACTGTTTTGTGTGCCGGGCTAGCAGTGACATACAAAGTTTCATTCACATTCCGTTGACAGCTTAGACATATGGCCATCAGTGAGTACAAGGGAGGTTGGGAAGTGTTGTGTAGCCATGTGCTCAGGAACAAGAAGAATACTGTGCACAACCTGTAGCTTCTACCACAGTGGTTGAGGCAGTGTCAGTCAGAGTGGTCAGGGAAGGCTCTGGAAGTGAAGTGATGAAAAAGAGACATCCAAGCAATAAGAAAATCCGAGAAATAAGAACATTTCTAGGCAGAGGGGAGCAGCGTGTTACTAGTACACTGAGGCATTTGAGAGATAGTGACCCAGGGGAGGAATGGAAGGCAAGCCTTCTTTGGTTGGAACCCAGGTAGCCAGGGATAGAATAGGTGGAAAAAGAGGTTGGAGAAGTGGGCATTGGCCAGGTGATGCAGACCGTTGTATCCGTTTGGGATTGTTTTGTTTTTCTAAGTGCAGTGAGAAGTCATTAAAGGATTTTAAATAAGGAAGTGATTGGATTTGTGTTACGAAAAGATTGTTCCTGCTACCCTTTGGAGAAGGGCAAGGATGGAAGCAAGGAGTTCATTTAGGGGGCTGTTGTGTTAGCCTAGGCAAGAGGAGATGGTGGGAATGAAGAGAAGAGGCCAAATTTGGCATCTGTTTCATAGGTGGACGCGTAAGTTCTTGCTCATGGGTTGGACAGAGGCATTGTTAAGCAGCTGGGTAGATAGTAGTCCTTTATTGAAAGAAGAAAGATGGAGAGAGGAAGGACATGAGGGATAAGTAAAGACTTCCTTTTGGACCTGCCTAGAATACTATCTGGCCTTTTTCGGGGAATATTTGCAGACCTCTAGCATAAACAGTGCTCCCAAGGGAAGACAGTGGCTAGTGAAATAGATGAACCTATTTAAGGATATATAACTTTCTACAAATTGCAGCTTTCATGATGAAATTTTTTTGTCCTTGAATGTATTTGGGATGTTGTGTTATAAAACTGTCTAACACATTAAAAGTTTCAAAAACACTTAACCCGTGATTAATGTAATGCTAGTTTGTGTCATCGCTTTTGATGGAAGATTAAAGCTTGGAAACAGTCCTCTGAAAAATCCTTTAAAAAATCTGTTCTTTCAGGTGCGTCAGCAATTTCCTGCTCCTCTTGGTTGGTCAGGCACTGAAGCTCCTACACAGGTCACTGTTGAAACTCATCCTGTTCAAGAAACAACCTTTCATGTAGCCCCTCAACAGAATGCATTGCATCATCACCATGGTAACAGTTCCCATCACCATCACCACCACCACCACCATCACCACCACCATGGACAACAAGCCTTGGGTAACCGGACCAGGCCAAGGGTCTACAATTCTCCAACGAATAGCTCCTCTACCCAAGATTCTATGGAGGTTGGCCACAGTCACCACTCCATGACATCCCTGTCTTCCTCAACAACTTCTTCCTCGACATCTTCCTCCTCTACTGGTAATCAAGGCAATCAGGCCTACCAGAATCGCCCAGTGGCTGCTAATACCTTGGACTTTGGACAGAATGGAGCTATGGACGTTAATTTGACCGTCTACTCCAATCCCCGCCAAGAGACTGGCATAGCTGGACATCCAACTTACCAATTTTCCGCTAATACAGGTCCTGCACATTACATGACTGAAGGACATCTGACAATGAGGCAAGGGGCTGATAGAGAAGAGTCCCCCATGACAGGAGTTTGTGTGCAACAGAGTCCTGTAGCTAGCTCGTGACTACATTGAAACTTGAGTTTGTTTCTTGTGTGTTTTTATAGAAGTGGTGTTTTTTTTCCAAAAACAAAGTGCAAAGCTGCTTGAATCAGAAGGAGATTAACACACTGAACCGCTACAAGAGGGCAAAGCTGACTTTTTTTTTTTTTAACTTGAAAAGTTTGCAAAGGGACATTGAAGTGTTTAAAAGAGCCATGTCCAAACCCATCTTCATGGATAGCTCAGAGGTATCCTCTTTTTGCTCCCCCATTTTAACTTGCCACATCCCAATCATAGTGGGTTTTTTTTGTCTTTCTATTCAGCGAAAATATTCAGATGTTGGTCTTGGTCATTTGCCAACTAATTTTAAAATAAAAGGCACTGCACATAATTTGCATAAAGGGCCCATGAGGGTGTTTTTTTTTTTCTTTTTGTCCCCCCCACTATTTTTTTGTTCTGTTTTGTTTTGGGTGGGAGGGTGGGAAATTTGGGTTTTTTAAGTCCTCTAAACACACTTGGGCACGGAAATGCAGTACTGTAAGGAAGAGGGACCTCCAGCTTCCACAAACACCATCTTCAGCTGTATGAAAGGGACGGTTGTGTTGAAGTTTGTCAGGCACAGTAAGCATGCTGAGTGGCGGGGATCAGAACTCTCCTATCTGAACCTACTGAGGATCAAAGCAGCAATTACATGGGATCCTGTGGCTCTCCTGTTGTAGAGGCCACAGGAAGATAGGATGGAACGTGACTGGTCTCCTAACCAAGGTGCACTGAGAAGCAATCAACGGGTCAGTCGTGGCCAGTCCTGGGGAGGTCTGAGTGGTGGTCTTTGGGATAACCTTTGGCCTTATGGATTTGGACTCGAAATTAGAAGAGCCTACCATTTCAGATGCAATCACTTTTGGACATGCTTTTGCAGACAGTCCTTAATGCTGAAAACACAGAGAATGGGTAATTCAAGAGGCCTTTCTTTTAAAATAGACTTTTGTGACCCACTAATTGTAAGGTATTGCAAGGTCACTTTGCGTGTGTCATAAAGTTGACTTCCTTATTGGTTGAAGGTCACAGAAGTAGTGGTTTGCTTTGATGGAAATAGCTACAGCTGTGTCCCTTCCTGCTTTTTACTTTTTCTTTTGCTTTTTCTCGGCACGTGGTATCTCCACCATTTCTTCTGCACAAAGATGTCTTCTGTTCATCCTGAACATTTTTAAAAAATGCAGAATTTTATGTGACTGCTTTTTTGCCTCACAATTATGCTGTGAATTTTACAAAAATTTATTTTCTTTTTTGATAATTTATTGTACCAAAGCTGTTTTTATAGCACATAGATGTCTGTAACCAATAATGTAGCAGTTCTGCACTTTGACACAAGGTGTAACTAGACCATTTTTAAATGTCAGTTGAAAATTATGGCTGTACTATTGCTTAAACAAAACTGGAACTGTTGTTGAATCCATAGCCAATACATTTACAGCAATCTGTGTACTGAGCATAATAGATTGACATCTAATTCAAGATTACAACATCTGTTACATTCTAAGTGTGTTCAGGCTTCTGAAGGTAAAGGGACACTGGATCCAGAAGCTATGGAACCAGCAGTTGATTCTTGTATTCCTGATTAACCTACTTGTAAACTTGAAAGCAAGACCTTGATTGCACCAACAGGTCCCGAGTATGAGCGCAAGTAAAGCAGAACTCTCATGCGTGACCTGAGCAGACAGGCTGGTATTATTAACAGGTGCCTCGTGTTGAGATTACGCTGCCTTAATGTAACACAGTCTGGCAGTTGCTAAATTTGTGTTCCCATTTTAAATTGACCAATTTTGGGGTGTGACACTTTTGAGCGGTTGAATTGGGAGAATGAAGTAATTTACCTGTCCAGGATCAAAAGAAGCCTAGAAAAGAAGCAGTAATCTACCTCTGCCGCTAACCTGTTTAAGACGACTCAGCAGAACACCGCCTTTCATTCGATTGGGCAATTCCATGTGGCTGACTAGGTCAATTTTTTTTCTGAACAAAAGCAGGTTTTTATATGTAAACAGTGACAAAAGAAAGGCTAAACACTATGTAAATGTGAATGGAAACTTGGAAATACTCGTTTTTATAAACTACAGAAATTTTTTGTTGTTTATCAGGAAATCCATATTTATTTTGTAATTAACTGTCAAGCCTGTGGATGATTTTTTTGAACTTGGTAGTTCTTAAAGGTTTACAGTGAATAAAAGGATATCATCTTGAGTATAGCAATATCAAAAGGAATTCAGTAGTTACTGCTGTTTAGGAATATAAGGTTAAGATATCATATGGGTCAGGTCATTTTTTTTCTGTGCTGGTTGCCACATCTTAGCAAGCACCAAAAAACTAAAGCAGTTTTTAAACCGATATTTACATAAAGAAAATCATAAAATCCAATGCTTCTGCATACTGTGTTATGTTACAGTCCAGTTTTGTGTGCTTTACTACACAGTTTGGTTACAGGACTTCTGTGCATTGTAAACATAAACAGCATGGAAAAGGTTAAATACCTGTGTTCAGATTGTAAGATCTAGTCCGGACTTGCTGTGTATATTGTAACGTTAAATGAAAAAAGAACCCCCCTTTGTATTATAGTCATGCGGTCTTATGTATGATAAACAGTTGAATAATTTGTCCTCAGACTCTTTACTATGCTTTTTTAAAATTAATTTAAGAAAAATGTAAACATAGTAAAAATCTTCCTATGCAATTAACCTGGTCCAGGTCTGGTAGGTATACTATCAAAGTTGAGTTAAATGTGTAAAAAGGAAACTATTTGAGATACATCGACGTAGGCATCAGCAATCTCTGAAAGTAAAAATTGGAGGTTTAACAGATCATTTTGATTTTTCACATTGATTTTTTTATTTGAATGCTTACATAATATTTTTTGTGGTTCAAAATGCTAGTGTTTTAGTTGGTAGCATTTAGAATGGATGGTGAAGGTCTGGTGGTTTTCTCTGATGCGCTTTGACGTGCTTGGATGAAAGAGGGAATACGAATACTCATTCTTCCTTCCCCAAATCTTCATATGGGGACATATCAGAATTCTAGAATTCTTGCCACTGTGATTCAGTTGGTAACCTAAAGTCTTCTCTTCTTACAAATTAACCTGTTTCAGTATATATTAAGGTGGGTTTCAAAAGGTAAGATACTTACTTAAAAGTTAAGTGTGAGTCTGTAAAATTAAGGTTGGTTGCGTAAAGTTGAAGTTAACCACATGTAAGAAAGGAAAACTTACATTAGTTTTATTTCTTAGGGTGTGAGAATTTTACCTCGGTAAAGGGCACATTTTATGATATTGGGCTGAAAAAAAAAAAACACGACTTATTTTTATTTAAAACTACATGTAGAAAATCATGCAAGATTCAGTAATTGTGTTAGGCCCACAAGTGACCATTGAGCTTGCCCCTGTACTGCTTCCCAGCTTTTGTGGTGGTGAACTTAACTGTTCTGTTCTTCCAGCAGGGAGATACATAATCAAAATACACGTGAAGACGAGATAGCAGGCACTCGGTTCTAGGCCAGTTTCTCAGTTTCCTTTGGGCCTGCCTTTATTTTGATAGCCCTCAGAATACAAGTTCAGACGTGGTCCGGTGCATTCCAGGTGGCATCCCCATAGACAATACAAGTTCAAGACTCATTTTTATGTTCCTTTTTATAGTGGTAGACTGTATGTAATCAACTGGATGGTTCATTCCAAATACGTGACTTGGTCTTAGTGCCATATATGAAGGAAGTTTGAAAATGTAATGGGGAAAAAAGCTGTGTGTGACTTCGGTATACCCAGACTTTATTCAGATTTCTTAAAAATCTGCTGGGGATGTCTGTTGACCAGATGTTGGAAAACCTTTGGTGTCAGGGACAGTAGAGCAGAAGTTCTGATTTTCTAACCCTGGCTCCTTATCTAGGCCTGTTTCCTTGGATGAAAACATACATCATCAAGTAATTTGTAGTACAAAGAACAAGAGAAGAAACCCTAAGAAGACAGCTTATTTGTTATCCTCCCTTTTTATGACTAACCTTAATCCCAGTGAATCCACTGAGAACCAGCCTGTGGATGCCTACTGGGCTTTCACACTGGGCCAGGAATTTTTGACGTATATCTGTGTTGAAAGCACTGGATGCTTGTTCAGTGGAAGACGTGTTCACTGAGGTAAGTGGCTCATCGCTTGCTGTGTTTGGCTCTCTCTCGGCATTATACATAGCCAAGGTCCCAGATTTTGACTGCTCTCAGTGGGTGTTCTTGCATCAGAACTTTTAAAAAATAACACTACCTTAACACTGAGACTGTCAGGTATTTGTCAGTATTTACTTCTAATTTCCTACTTTAAATCTTAAGGGACAAAGTATTTCTCCAACTGGACACTGATTTGAAAGACAGTAACTAGAATGCTACAGGTCTGTCTTCCAGTATGCAGCTGCTTTACCTGAAAACTTTTCCCCATAATTTCTCATCTTTAGGGTATGTCCCTGTTATTAAAAAACAAAACAAAACAAAAGTGTGGAATTAATGTGGGTAAATTTCCATTTCAGTTGAATTTCCTGCCATCCCCAGCAAAACCTGTGAATGCTGCTTCAAAGCATTGAGGAGGCAGAGACAAGCCTTAAACCAGCTTCCTTCTGCTCTTACCAGGTAGCCTGGTTCAGTCCCAGCTGGGTCCTGAAGGAGCACAGTACTAGAGTCTGAGTCATGTTGATGAATAAAGTGCGTTAAGTTTGGGTCAGGCAAAATGGTGGCAAAAGTTCATGATGCAGGACAGAGGAAACAAGTGGACAAGACAAGTGGAGCCCAGCTCTGTTCCAAAGGGAGGCCGGGCGATGCTGTCATGGGCATGGTCGGCCGAGTTCTCATAGCTAGAGAAAGGCCGTGTAGGTATTAGAGCTTAACGTGTCATCTGTTCGAAAGACCAGCTATTTTATAATCTTTCCGATTAAATTTCTAAAATTGCTACCCTGGGGATTTTTTTTTTATTCCTATGAAGTTTTGCTTCCATTATATACTCATTCATTAGTCAGTGTACTTGCCCCTGAATTCCGTATCTGAAACTGCAGTCCAGGCAGAGATTCAGAGCCAAGGGCAAAATGAAGTGGCAGGCGCTGGGTATGTGTGGTAGTTCTGCACTAGGGCGGCCAGAAAGCACCCAAGCGGGTGTGCTGGGTGGGGGATTATTAACGAACACCCAGGCAAGAAGACGGGCCTGAGCCTGAGTGTGGTCAGCAGAAAGTGTTTTGCTTAAAAGAGACCCTGGGATGATGACTTGGGAATCATCCTCCACTCACTGTTATACAGAAAGACTGCAGAGAAGGGCACTGCTGGGGTGGGGTTTGTTCACTCCCTCTGAAATGAAAGAAAATACCTCTAGTGGCATGAAACGGTTAAGTTTTTTAAATGTTATTTCTTTTTTAGAGACGGTGTCTGGCTTTGTCACGCAAGCTGGAGTTTAGTGGTGTGATCGCAGTTCACTGCAGCCTTAAACAACTGGGCTCAAGTGATCCTCCCATCTCAGCCTCCCAAGTAGCTGGGACTACCGGTGCACAACCACCATGCCTGGCTGATGTTTTTAATATGGGATTTTGCTGAGTTGCTCAGGCGGTACTCAAACTCCTGGCCTCAAGTGATCCTCCAGCCTGGGCCTCTCAAAAATAAATAGGCTGGGCATGGTGGCTCACGTCTGTAAAGATTTAAAGCGGAATGCAGTGAAATAGCATGAGAAAGAGCGTTTTAATGGACATCACAGACAAGCCTTGTTCTGCTGAAGAGGTGATGCCACGAGGTGGGCTGGAGTTCACTTCAGGCACCACTCCCACTTCCATTGCCCGCAAATCCAGGAAAGAAATGACTAACGAACTGTAGTGATCTCAAACTGCTAAATCAGTTTAAAATCATCAATTTAAAATGACTTTCAACTTTGCTGCACTTTAGAACTTTATAAAACCACAGATGCCCATCACACTGGCAGAATTTTAGATTCAGAGTGTGGGGTGGGGCCTGGAGCTGTTTCCTGAAACTTTGCGGGCGATTCTGAACCTGCAGCCAGGCAGGACTCTGGCAAGAAGAGGCATGTGGCTAATCTGACGGAAGTCTGAATCCAAGAACTTTGTTTTTTTTTTTTTTTTTGAGACAGTCTTGCTCTTGTCTCCCAGGTTGGTGTGCAGGGGTGCGATCTCAGTTCACTGCAACCTCCGTTTCCCAGATGCAAGTGATTCTCGTGCCTCAGCCTCCCAAGTAGCTGGGATTACAGGTGCACACCACACCAGGCTAATTTTTAGATTTTTGGTAGAGATGGGGTTTCGCCATGTTGGCCAGGCTGGTCTTGAACTCCTGACCTCAAGCTATCTACCCACCTCGGCCTCCCAAAGTACTGGGATTACAGGCGTGAGCTACCACTCCCAGCCCCAAGAACATCTTGAAATGGAGTTTGATTACCAAAGTTTACATAGAGTAATGGAGAATTAAAATTTACAATTTATGGTGCATTACGAAATGTTATAAACAAGCCTTCGAGAAAGGCAGAAATTGCCAGATGTAAGTGTATAAAACTTACACAATTTGTTCCTTTTTGTCTTCTTCCTTGTGGAGATGGGTCAGTGTGACATTCTATTCATTAATAGCTCTCAGATGTCCCACAAGAATGGTACACGTTATTTCCCAATAGTGAGAATGGAACTGGTTCCTTTATATCTCAGTCTCATTTGGTCTTGTAAGCCCATGAAGGGTTTCCTAGGGGACTAGCCACCAGCTCTGTATAGTAGTAAGAGTTTCCCTCTCTAGAATCCCAAAGAGGTTCAGATCCCACTGCTCTTCTCGTTGGCTTCGTGACCCTGGGCATGCTGCTTTACTTGCCCAAGGATCACTTTTATCTTTGTGCAATGAAGATATCCATAATGTCCACTTAGGAGATACTGTGCGTGCCTCAGTGAGGTAATGTCCACAGAAAGCACAATGCCTAGTATATAAGAAGTGTCCAATAAATACAGTATGTGGCTATACAGAGTGGAGTCCACAGCCTGAATGGAACTTCCTATTTCTTCGTAAATACAACAAACAGTGTAGGAAAATGGGGTGGGCAGTGTTCTCCGTGGAGGGCTAAACAGCATTGCTCTCCAGCTGACTCTTATATTTGGAGTCTGGGACTAGGTGTTAACATTACTAGTTGGTTTTGCGTCCTGCACAGTCCCTGTATCTATCTCAGAATTTTGAGGTTTGTTGTGGGGAGTTTGTGGGTAGTTTGCTTTGCTTGATAAAATATATGATATTTAAATGTTGTATAAGGATGGGTTTTCAGTAGAATTTTTCTATACAACCTCAGGGAGACTGCCTGGAGGAGTAACTATGGTAAGGGTCTATTTTTGAACAAGCATTGTCATTAGACCCTTGTGATCACTTGTCCAGGGGCCGGTCCCCACCCTTTGCTCTCACTCCAAGGAAAGTCTGTTACATGTTTAGCCTTCAGAGGTTTGATGCAGATCAGGGAGAGAAGAGGGTGACAAAAATTAGCTCTAAGTTTATAAATGAAACAGGGATATTACCGCGGAAGCTTTTGGAATGTAATAGGTTGTAACCCACATTTTGAAAGCAGTAAGGAACTAATTGCTGCCTTTTTCTTTTCCTTTTTTATTCTGTTGACTTTGTTGAT